TATTATTGTTCATACAAGTATAATGTTTTGAAGTACAGCTTATCGACAAGAAATTTACAGTTGGTAAGTTTTGCAACAGGAAAAATCAGATATTTACTCTGTGGCCTTACCAGAAAACGTGCTCATTGCTTAGCAACAGATTAACAACAAATATTATTTGTAGAAAAAACCCTAGAAAATTTCATTGAAATGCCTTGCTTTGCTCTCCTATGCTATGCAGGCCCAAATAAAGAATAATTATATTTTTTTTATTATTGCCTAACCTGCAATAACACAGCATTCTTTTCGTGTACGCTTGATAATTTGTAGTAATTTGTAGCATCTGCAGCTAAAAAAATACTTAACATTTTAAAAGCCGAGTCCTTTCTGCTCAACTTATACTGTAGAACTTATCCGTCGCCTTATTTTTTTTCTCAATAAACTGAGAATTGTATATACATTTTTTTATAAACATATTCACAGACGGCTTTTTTTTTTAATTCAATATGTATTCATTTTTTGTAAAGCCTTGGCTTTACAAAAAATGAGGTTTACTTTGTTTACTTTCTTTCTCAGAAAATGTTTTTTTTTTAGCCTGGATATTCTGATAAACCAATTACTCAGTTAGTTGACAATTATTTCAATAATTGATTTATCCCAATTAATCTGATTAATAGCTTCAGCTCTAGTGAGAACACAGATCAATTGTTTTGTTGGTTTTTAGTCCACACTTTTGTAATAATAGGTTTGTTTCTTTGACTGAAAATGAAGCTAATTATTCAGTTTTTTTGTTTTTGTTGGTCATTTTCAGAATTCAAAACTTGACTCTTGCTGCGAATGTTTAATTTTCTGACACAGTAACATTTGTCTTGTTTTGCTATGTAATAATTTGCTCAACTTTTTTTGCTTCGTTAGGCCCTAAACTATTCAAGGAGCCCAGTGCCAAGTCAAATAAGCCCATCATTCACAATGCAATCTCTCATTGCTGCCTGGCGGGGAAGGTCAATGAGCCCCAGAAGAACCAGATCCTGGAGGTCAGTTTTCTACTTGATCTAGACCAACTTATGAGATTAGTGAATTTTCTTCGTTTAACCCGTTTATACAAAGTTTCCTCATTAAAGCGCCACATGTCCTACCTGTCAGTGTTTGCATTTTTCTAAATGTTCAAAGATGCCAACCCATCCTTAAACTTGTTAACTTCACTTGTCTGCTGTGCTTCTCCTAGAAAGAGTGTGATTTGTTTTGGTTTTTCTTTCTTCCAGTGTTTTGAATTGTTGTGCTCAGATTTTAATTTCTTCTCTCCAGGAGCTGGAGAAGTGTGAATCCAACCACCTGATGATCCTGTTTCGTGATGGCGGCTGCCAGTTTCGGGCTCTCTACTCCTACTTCCCCGACACGGAAGAGATCCACAAGCTGACCGGCACCGGACCCAAGAGCATCAGCAAGAAGATGATCGACAAGCTGTACAAGTACAGCTCGGACCGCAAACAGTTCACCGTCATCCCTGCCAAGACTGTGTCGGTGAGCGTGGACGCCCTGACCATACACAACCACTTGTGGCAGGCCAAGAGAAGTGCTGTGCCAAAGAAAACGGGGAAGTAGCGGACCACTTTCAGATCTGCGCCGTCTGGAAACCTACTTGGGAGGATTCACGTCTAAGCGGAGGGACCGGTGAAACATCTCCTCCTCCCTGTGATATCGGTGTGATTGCTTCAGGTTCATTTTAGCTATTTTGAAGCAAGCATGTGGCATTGTTTCTCTCATGTGTAGAGGACGTCCATTTTTACATGGAGTATTTATTAGTTCAGCACTGTCGTGGTTGAAAGCTCGGCCGCAGCACTAAATCCCCTTCTTCTCCTTCGGATAGATGTAGGCATGAAGGTGGAGAGACGTTTGTTTTAACCATTTAGGATCATCGAAGCGCTCCGTCAATCTGTTCCCATGTTGACTGTCGAATCAGGCTGGCTTCGCCGACTTCTGCCTCACCACCGATCTCCAGAATCCTGCTGCTCTGAACTTTTTTTTTTCTTCTTTTCGTCAGGATGGAGGAAACTCCAGACAACCTTTTGCCTTCTCTCACGCATCGTGGTACTATCATCCAGTTATTCAGCCGCTTTTTAAACTAGACGCTGATCGTGTAGCACCAGGTAGGTGTGTTGCAAAAAAGGGGAAAAAAAACTGATCATTTTATCTACATTTTTATTTGTTGAAACATCCCTTTTTTTTCCCTTCAGGAGTTTTAGAAAAACGGGGAAACTACAGGCCTTGGTACAACAGTTTTTGTTTCGTTTTAGCTTTTTTTAATCATTTTTATTGAAGCGATGTGGTTCAAGTTTACGCAGATGTTATGTGTTTTCATCATAACGGAAATTCTCTGATGTTTAGAGCTTAGTTGTGTTTTTTGTTTTTTTTCTCTCCACCGGGCACTCTTGAATTGTCCTGTACAAAGGTGCACTCAAAATACTTGTCGACGGCTTCTTTTCATGCAATGTAACCCTTCCGCCTCTTCCTCCCCTCTGAGTATTTACGTCCCGTCTTTATTCACACGAGCAGAGGACACTCTCGTCATGAAGGGTGCTTCCCGCTTTGCTCGACTGACAGTATTTGATATCCTCACGCTGGGGGGAGGGTTGAGGGAGGGCTTGTGGTTCAGTTGTGTACCAACATTAAAGAACATTCCTCCAAGGTGTTGACAAGCACTGCCACATCGTCTCTGTTCTTCTCTGTCTTTGCAAAACTTCAAAGTGCTTCTTCTTTCTTTTTTTTTTTTTCTTTTCTTTTTGTTAAATAAACCATTTGTTGGCCTCGAACAACCAGAAGTGTCGCACAAGCACTTTACTTTCTGTTCGGTTTCAGAGTTTGACAGACTAATACGTAACACTGCTGTTTGTGTAAAGAAAAATCAAACGCTAAAGATTTGATACTGATGGCTGCAGCTGAGGGCGTCACTGAAACGTTGCCACTGCTGTCTCTCCAAAAGTTACTCGATACTTGATGAATCATCTGCTGCATTTTGATGTCTTTGTGTCGGTGTGTGTGTGGGTGTGTGTGTGTGTGTGCAGGGGGTGCATAAGTGGTGGAAAGTGGTCTTTAAATGTGTGAAAGTATATTTTTAAGTTTACTAAAAGATTGTATTGGCATTTGATCACCATTTTTTGTTACACTAGTGTACTTTTCATCCATGTTTGATTTTATCTTCGATCCCATGTCATCTATTTATTTTAAAATTGAAGCACTGAAACGATAAATTTCTAAGTAAATAAAAGTCACTTTTTTTCCATTTCTGTTTTGTTTGATTTGTCCATCACTCTTGCTGTTTTTCTTTTCCTGGCACTGCACTGACTTCACTTTTTTTACTTTGTCATGCCACTGCATCTTTTTCACGGGAATGTTTGTCAGAAAACTGGTACTCTTGTTTCCATTGAAGTTTCTAAATTGAGCTCATCTCTGAGACCCCCCGGTGAAAACTGCTGCTCACTCTACCAACCAACTGGAACCGCGACTTTTGACGCCTCCTCTCGTAACCATGGTGCGACATGATCCTCTTTGGCAACCAGTCCTGGTTGTTCAGGTGATGACCATCAAACTCTGCAGACGCTTCTTTCCAGAGTCAAACAGAGATCAGCGTTCGATCCATCAACTCAAAATGAAAGGTGAGTTGTTAAATGTGTTGCTCCAGGAGCTTTTCTAGTTGAAACTTGGTGTTTTCGTGTGACTGATGCTTTACGTTTCCACAGGCGTAGTCGCTCTTGCTGTGTTGTTGGGAAGTATTCGTCTCGGCCGTCCCTGTGTAAAAGGGGACTCAGTTTTGTTCTGCTATGACGCTCTAACAAGTGAGAACTCCAGCTTTTAAACTTTGAAAGAAATAAAGTCGACAGGTTAAACAGCAACAACTTTACTGAAAAACAATTAAAATTGAGTTTTTAGAGAAACTGGTGTGACCTTTTATGAAACTTGTTCTTGCATTTAAACACTGACTAGTAGAAATTTGATTCTGATCCAACAGTTTGCATTTAAACTATACATCTTGAGTCAAATCTTCAGCTGTATTAGGAAGATAATTTCCCTAAGATGACCTAAGTTGGTTTTATTTTACTGGTTTACAAAATGCAACAGTGTTGGATTGAAATGTTCTCAATCCAACATTTAAAACTTTGGATTGCTCTCATATTCAAGTCAATCTTTTGGCATTCCTTCCAAACAAAACCTGATCATTTAATGATGCATTTTAAACCCTAGAAAGGTGTACTCGTTTTGCCATAATGTAGACAAATATATAAGCTGGGATTTCAAATTTTTAAAGCAAAGAAGACAAACGTATCATTGTGCTTCACTTTTTCTCTCAGATTTCATCCCTAATTGTACAACCATGCTTGTGGGTTTAAAGAATGTTGGCAAAATCAACTCCACGGTTCTGCAAAGTGTGGACCTCTCCTCCATCACAAAGTTCGAAAGCCGAAACTCTGGTATCACAGGAATCGCTGAGAGTGCCCTCGGCTCTTTTTCACATCTGAAAATTCTCATTTTAGATGGTAACAGTTTGTCCAGCGTTGACCAGAACTGGTTCAGAAACCCTGATACTATCATTGAGCTAGATTTCTCTTCCAATCTGATTAAATATTTGAACGAGTCGAACCTGTCAGGGCTGACAAACCTGAGGAAGCTCAATCTGAGGGGGAACAAAATCCACTCCATCCATCCAGATGCCTTCAGATCCCAGAGGAAGTTGACTGATCTGGATTTGTCAGACAATCAGTTGAGGAGGCTTTCCCCGCAGATCTTCATGTCTCTAAAGTCTCTAATGTCCATCAGACTTTACGGGAATCCCTGGAACTGCTCTTGTGATGCCCAGGACTTTGTTGACTCTTTAAAAGGTTTGTAACTTGTGACAGTCAGAGCTCCAAGTGTTTTCTGAACATATAAAGGTTAAAACTCCTTCCTTGTCCTCAGAACTGAATACATCTCTGCTGGTGAATCGAATGAATGTGAAATGTAAGGCTCCTCCACATCTGGAAGGTCGACCGGTCTTCGACGTGTCTGTGTGTTCGACTGCTACGCCACCATTGAGGAGTTCAACGACTCCAACCAGTATATCTGTCATTTTGTTTAACTTGTTTGGTTGTGATCCAAGACGAATCCTTATATCAGGGGTGTCAAACTCCAGTCCTCAGGGCTGCTGTCCTGTAGTTTTTAGACGTGCCACAGGTACAAAACACTGGGATGGAATGGCTTAATTACCTCCTCCTTGTTCTCCAGAGCCTTGCTAATCACCTATTATTCTATTCAGGTGTGGTGCAACAGAGGCCCATCTAAAAGTTGCAGGACCGGCCCTTGAGGACTGGAGTTTGACACCCCTGCCTTAGATCCTTTTTTAAAAAGTCACTTTCTATGAGTAAATATCTTTTTGATCTTCAGGTAAAACTCAAACAACTCGCTCACAGGAAACATCTGGAAAGACAGAAACATCTTTCAATACCAAATCCACTACCCAAACTCAAACAACTTCTGCTCTCATGGGTACGTGTGGATTATTTCTCCACCTCTCTGTTTTAATCTCTTAAAAGTAATGTTTCTTCAGCCTCATCTCTCAGCAACTCTTTCCTCTTCAGAGACTTCTGAGAGAACAAAAGCACCTGGTGCCACAGGGTCATCTTCATCCCCTGGTACATCTGGGATAATTATTTAACATTAGACATTTTTTTCCTGCTTGGTAATGTGCAGGTTGATACATTTAGGGTCTTTTTTTATGTCAGTTCAAAACTAACAGCAAACATTTAGTTAATTTAGAGGGAAATGAAGAATATGTGGGAAGTAAGATGTATAAAAGGAGGCTGGATTAAATGTTATCAAAAATGTATATCATGTGAATTTGTATTAGATATAAACTTAGCTAAAAATAATTGAGACCAGATAAAAAGCTCTTCTTAAATACCCAGATAATATTATACTTCTTGACTGGTATTTAAATAATTATATAATTAAAATCTGTAGTTTTTGCGGTTTTTGGAGAAATTTTTTAATACCTTAGTTTTATACAGGAAAAAAAAGGACTAGTAAAGTTTTCCTGCATCAAGGACAAAGTTAAATGGGCTTTGTGACCAACAGCACCACCATGTGGTCATAGTTAGAAATGACATGTCTCTGCTCATTCTTCCTTCGGAAATTTTTTATTTATTTTTTTCCAACACCAAATTCAGCCTTTTGGCATTGAGATGATCAGTTTGTGGTTCTGCTAAGGCATCTTCATCGTCATTTCCGGTCTCTCTTGACTCACTTTTGACAATATTTCTTTGGTTCTCAGAGTTTTAGGTCAAGCCAGTTTTTTTTTGTATCGTCACTTGTGGCAATGTTAGCCAGAGCCAGAGCTTTGTTTAATTAGAAAATTATGAAGTAGTCTAAAGTTTCCTGTTAGGCGTCTAAAGTAACTTGGGACTTGAAAGAAGCACAGCAGATCAACAGTCATTTATTCAGACTTTATTTTCAGGATAAAACTATTTGAGCTCCATCAGTCATTGCTGTTGAAATATATTATTGTGTAATTGAATAAATTCAGCCAAATATTTCTGTACTTCAATGCGCCTCTCGTCGGGTCTGATGCTGAGTGAAGCAGAAATTGCGCGAGAGTTGGCATGAAATTCTGTTTCTTACCAGCAGGCGGCGCCAGTGGAACATGTAACTGCTTTCATCTCGTTCCTTGACTATAATTGAATTGAGATTAATCTTATACCAAGAAAATATGGTATACATTTCATTTTGTAGAGTTTTAATTTATTTTTTATTCTTTGCTGCTGACAGGACTTTATGTGACGACATTATCATCAGTCATCAGACCTGTAACTACTCCCACACCAGCTGCAGGTTTGTGTGATTCTTCTGAATCACATTTAAAACCAAATGTATCACTTTGTATTTCCTTCATACTCAGGCTCGCCCACAACCTCAAACACAAAGATCTGCACTCTGATCGCTGTTATTGGTATGAATCCTCTTTTTATGTGAACATTTTTAGTTAATTTGGTTTGAAAAATCTCATCTTGATATTATTTTATGGCTTTGTTCTTGTGCAGTGGTCCTATGTGTGCTGCTGCTTTTTGTGTGTTTTGTGGCACTGATGCATAGGAGGAATCGCACTAACAAAGCTGTGAGGCCTGGATGTCCAACAGAAGAGGAAGAGAAGCAGGAAGGAGACGGCGCGTCGAGTCGGGATCAGTCTGGATGTCTGGAAGAGGCTCGGAGAAAATCCTTCACTGGCATCAGAGCAAAGTCTGCAAACGCAATCATCCTCTCATCTCCTTTCTGTGTATTCGAGAAAGACAAAGTCACTTCTGAAAACTCTGAAAAAGAGAACCTGGAAGTTGAAGTGGGAGAAGTTCATCCAGAAACTTCTCCCACTTCAATGAAGTCTCTGGTTGTGTATGATGCAAGTCAAGAGAGATCGGAGTGTGTGATGCAAGAAGGTGATGATGGAAATCCCTACAAAAACCAGGAGTGTGATCATGTTAACATGGACGTTACACCATACTTGAGTATTGGCACCAAGCAGAACCAAGCAAATCCTGATGAAGAGTCTGCAGAAGGTCCAGGTCGGAGTCGACAGAGAGGAAAATTCATCAGGATCTCCACCTGGCCTCCTACTGCAGCCCAGTGGCAGGCAAGATGCAAGGCCAGAGAGCAGGAAGAGGGAGCTGAGGAGTTCACTGTTTGGACTCAGAGTGTAACTGCAAAGGTCTCAGAAGATGTGAAGATGATGATAGAGCATCCCAGCAGCAGCTCCAACTGGTGTGAAGACAAGGAAACAAACATAAATCTGAGTCTGACAGACACCTTCAAACCACCGGAGACTCTGGTCCACGCATCGGAGGGGGAAGAAACAAACCTGGATCCAGATTCTGCAACACAGACAGATATCTGGGTCAGCACGGGCGAAGAGCTGAAGTCGGAGGAACATCCGGCACAGAAGAAGAGAGAGGCAGATGTGAAGCGGGACAAGCAGCGGAGGGCCGCTGGGGCGCAGGCGCCCTCTGGTGGCACTTCTCCAGATGACGAAACTCTGCTGTCAGGGAATGAATACGCCTTCATGGACCTGCTTCATGAAGTGGTTCAGAACAACGGCCGCTGGACGAGAGAGAGGTGGAAACAGAATAATGTTAACAAGCAGCGGCGATGAAATCAGATTCAACAATTCACTCTGTGAAGATTACTCTGTCAGAGTGGATTTTTAGACAACAGGATAGTTACAAGAGAGCTTAGTAAAGTTAAAATATTCACTTCCTAATTATATAAAATTATTTTTTTTTTCATTTGAGTCTCAGTTGCCTGCATTTTTCCTGTATTTTGTTTTCTGTTGTGACAAGCAAATCTGATTACCATGGTCAGCTGGTTACCATTGCTGGAAAATACAAGTACTTTGTTGACTTACTGTTCTGAAAATACTTTCTGCACTCTTGTTGGTTGTGCAGGAGGCTCTACTTCTGCTTTTCAAAAATGTATAATTGTATAATATAAATAAATAGAAGCAACACATTCAAACTGCTGGTGATAAACTTAGTGTGAGGTGAAATAAAACCATCTTCCAGTCGGTGGATTTGGCTGCATGCAGCATTTATTTGTTCGTATCTGTATGTGCACTTCTCATAAGAAATAGTACAAAATGGATCATCCTCTGACAATGAATCAAAAACAAAGTGGAGGTAAACATAATAAGTAGGCTTTTGATAACATCTAGACAACATGCATGTTCCATTCATATAAATACAGTATCAAATAATGGCTCCAACTTGCAAGCAGTTGATTCAGTTACAGGTTTTTTTAATCTAGCGACAGGACACCACACTAACTGTCCTGCTAAGGGTAGGAAATGTTTCGTTCTTGGCAAGCTTTTTATATCAAAACATGCTTTTAAGAAATAACATGCCCCGTGTGTTAAGTCCGGACATCAGAAGACATCAAGTGAAGTCCTTCAGTGCTTTAAGGGTTTGTTGTGAGTATCCTGTAAGGTGTTTTGTTAGTGGTTGCATCCTCCATCACAGTCGCGTTGACTGAACTGTTACTTCTGACTGTGAAACACGATTTCCGGACCGTTAAAAAAACAAACAAACAAAAAAAAAAACAAGCAATCCCTTCTCTACCACTTTAGGATTGCTTGAAATGAGAAATAAGAACAGCGTACCTAAAATTAAAATCTGCAAACATCTGAAGTCATGCTAATGAATGCATGATGGGTCTTTGCTTTGCCGGTAAATATATTCCCTGTTCTACAGATTCAAATTAAAGGGTCATGCTGTCACGCTCCGCACGTCGCCACAGAGCTTAGTGCAAAAATAGTTCAAGTCCTTTTTACTTTTCATGGTTACAAAGCCATGTATACAATTCATATTTATAGTGATTAAACCCGAGATACAGATGAAAATGAATGACTTGGGGATAAATACTGAAACTGTGGTGTAGAGAAACCACTTAGTTTTCAAAATAAATCTAAAAATGTATGACAATTAAACACTTTATGTTTGTGAATACCTGTGCAAAATATCCTGCTGCATTTAAAGTTTACAATCAAAATGATTTTATAGCTCAAATATGTTTTGTCAAATTGGGTTTTGAGTTTTCAAAAACAGAAAAAAAACACTGCTCCACTAATGATCTATCTGAAACAGCTTTAGTTGTATATTTATATGGTTTACAATGTAGGGAAAAAGTATTTGCTCTTTTTCAAATGTTCAAAAATCAAAAGTCAACCAGTTCACTGAAGTTAGGATGTGTGAACTGTTCACGCTCAGGAGCTAAAACTTCAAGCTAAACTTCGCTGAGCTAGTCGTTTGCTAATTAAAGAGTCGCATGTTGCAACAAAAAAAAAGAAAATTTCTCCCCAAATATTTCAAAAAGTCAGTATTTCAGGGCACTGTGGAGGAGCAGGGGTAAAGCACAACTCATGTCTTCGCTGCATGTCTTCCCCTTCTCTCACATTGAACTTCCCTGTCTAAAACTCTCAGACCGATAAAACATTTTTTGTAAAAGTCAGCATTTCTTTCAACTTTAGCCATAAGATGGATGGAGAAACACACTGAATAATAAAAATAATTCTCATTTAAGTTTTTGGGAAAAAAAATCTATGGAAAGAGATAAGGGCCACTACAAAAAAGTCAAGATTCTGACTTTTTCTTCAAATTCTGGGATTAAGTTCATAATTCCGAGATTAAAATAGTCAGAATTTTGAGCTTTTTAAAAAGAATTTTCCAGTGACTTTGGTCCGCTTCCATTAAATTAGCTTTTTCTAACAACTCAAGTAACTCAAATAGCAAATATTATGATCAACATTTGGTTAAATTTGGCACTGACCAGGAGTTATTTTATATATTAGCCTCCTTAAAAATATGCGTTTCTTTAACTGTATGTTCTGTACGTTTACTTTTCGTACGGCAGCAGCAGCAGATGTTGCAGTCAGGTTTGAAAATGATATGAAAGAAAAATAAAAATAAAAACACTGGTGTCACAAAAATAAATACAAAAATGGCACAGTAATAATAGTATTTACAAATAAATAAACAAAACGGCAGAATGTGGAGCTGTCATGATTTCTAACAGAAAAATAATTTAACAATGTTATTTTTTCAATAACTGACAAAATCACAGAGAGAAATGCTAACTTGGCTAATAAAGGTGCAACTGGTGTAAGCCCGTATTACATTTAAAACCTGTAAAGACAAAAAGTTCACAACAATAAATAAAATTGACATAATAAAAGAAGAAAATTGCACATGTACCTTAATTTCCAGGTAATACTTGAAAATGTAGAAAACCAACCAAATCATCAGCTCTCTTTAAAAGCAAACCGTGATGTTTAAGTTGTTGGATGTGAATGATTTTCAGTTAGTTTCTGATTATCAGCAGAAACAGGTGAAGGAATTTTTGCAAAAAGCCGGTAGTGGCACAAGGGTAGCTTCCCCCCACCTGAGCTAAACATAAAATGAAATTATTTATCTATTAGGACAGAAACCGGCTTTAACCATCCGATTATATCCAATAACCCTTCTAATCTCTGCAGTCGGGCTGGACAGAGGAAGCTGCGTTTAGGTTCTCGGTTGCAGGGAGTTTTGTGTGGGGAAGTGATGACTAGGCACTCGTCATGCATCCTCCAATGGCAGCTCTGATGAAAACGGGAATCTCAGTGCCGCCTTTTAGGATGTGGCTAATCTCTGGTCTCAGGCTGAGAGACAATTAATGCACATTCACCATGAACACCTCATCACCGCCCCCGTCAGGCCTTCGTTTGTGCGAGGTATACGAGATCTATCAACGCTCATAGAACCAAAGACTCGAAGCTTTTAAAGGTGAGTCTCATTTCTTGACTGTGCGCCAAAGTCCTGTTGGTTCTTGGTGTTTCGGGCTGCCTGTCCCATCTGTGAGTCGTCTGGCATGTGAGCTAGAGGATCAGAGCGAATAATGTACCTGTAAGGACAAAATCATCCATGTTATTCTTCATCTGTGACTCTAAGACGATTAAAATATTATGCAACCTCCTGCTGCTTCACTTCTGCTGCAAAAACACAAGTATATTTTTGTCTAGTTTCTAGTGCAAATGTCTTAGTACACACAAAATAAAACTAATTTACAAGTGACTTTTCAGTAAGATACAGGTCTCTATATGTTTTGTATGTTTACAAATGCTGATCTTACTGTTTGCCTCATGTTGAAAACATAAAGATATCTTAACAACCTCGCATTAGTCAATGTCAGACAGAATGAATTACCTAAACATCATTTCAGATGAGCAAAATGTATCAATGAAAAACTTAACTTAATTTTAACTTATGCAAAATTAAAAGTAAAATGTTTTGCATTTCCTTTAAGTCAAGTTCAAACTAATTAGATTAAGTTATTCTTGCGGTTTATATCTCGAAGTTGAAAATATTTTGATGGCTAGTAGTTAATTTCCCTGTGCTTCTCTACCTGAAAGAGAAGCACAGAAGTATCTTTTCCACTGTCAGTTTGTTGGTTTTAAGTCAGTAATTTCTTAATATTGATACAAAATAACTAGTTCAACTGCCACATTATTTCACCTCAAACATTTTCCCCATGTTAACATAAAATAATCAGCCAGTAGCTTTTATCAATATTAAAGAAATATTTAAGTGTACTAAAATATATACTTTTTTTTTACACAATGTATAGATAAATACGTTGGAAGATTTTTTTTTTTTTTTTTTTTTTTGCAGTTTACAACATGAATTAGTATGAAACATGAAATTTGAAAAAAATCTGAAAAAAAAGTAGATTTTAACTGTGATGTTTTATTGTTTTACTTTTATGATCTTTTTATTTCCCAGAAAATAAAAATATGCTCTAGAATAATCCTGATTATTTGATCAGGATCAAATAATCCTGATTATTTGATCAGGATTTCTTCTGGCAAAACCAGAAGAAAAGCAACCAAAGCTGCCTGACAGGAAACGGCGTCCTTACACGATGTCGTTGATCTCCAGCATGGTGTCAGGAGGAGGATTGATGAGAACGTAGGACAGCGTGTTCTGGTGGTCGTTCATCTCGTCTGTAAAAAGAGACAAAAGAGACCTTGAGAGCCGCTCTGCAGCCCTCCCTCATCCTCCTCCATTAGACCGCAAATCAGCCAGAAAACACGGCTTCTAAACTCTGACGCTGTAAAAACCTCAAAGTCTGCAAAGTCATTTGAGTTTAACATCTAGAATGCATTGTCTTATTCGTGTTCTTTTATTATTTAGTGTTTAGAAGCAGATGTTAGTCATTATCAGAATATGAATTTAGAGAATGATACTTGCACGATATATACATTATGCTTTAGAATAACTGCTGCAGAATAAATGCAAAATCTCACATCTATGAAATGAATAAGGACTATAAGTTTATATGATTATGTAAATCTAATAACAGTCTAATTTGTTTTGTATCAGTCTGTTATTTATAGCAGTAATCATGTGGAAAAAATTAGATAACTTGTCATAAATCTAAGTTCAGTTTAAACATTTGAAAGCTTCTTGTGATGAAACTTTCTTTAAGCTTAATCTGAATGTTAAGTTTTTATGCAACCACAAATTTAACCTGAGGAAACGAGATCAATTATATCTATAAGGAAAAATCACAAATCTGAGATTTTAATCTCTGGATAATGTGGAGAAGAAGTTTCACACTCATCATGTGTTTTATCAGATTAAATAACAACCTTTAATAACTCATCAAACCAAACCATAATACTGCCTCCACCATGTTTCACACATAAAATAATCAACGTGTAACAGATTGCAGTTGTTCCAAGCTGCAGGATTTTCATCTTAAATATCACCCAATCAAGTCCAAAGTGAAGAGTTAAATCTGAATCAGGGTGAAAAACTCATTTTCATTTTGGACCGGTAGTGGCTGAAAGTATTGATAAAACTACCTATTAACAAATTGGTTAAAATACAAATAATTAGCTGTCTTCGTTCAATGAGTACTTTTTGAAGTCATATTGTTGTAATTTGGAAGCAAGAAATGCTTTAGTTTGATTAATAAAATGAAATTTAAGAACACAACACTTATGTGGCCCTCTTGAGTTTGACAAATGTAATTGTAATTGTAATTGTAATTGTTCTAAAAAAAATACTAATAAGGTTGTAGTAGGAACAAGTTGGGATTTCCTAAAAATGAACTTGTCAGTAAATAAAGAAAACATTCGGCTGCATCTACTGGTAACAAGCAGCACCAGAAGAAAGAAACCAAACATTTATGCAGGGTTACCTCTGCCTCTTAAGAATTTGATTGAATTTGGGATCAGGGCCACTGAAAACAAAATCTGGCTTTAATCTCAGAATTTTGACTTTAATTTAAGATTTTTAAATTTTTTTTTCTTAAATTTATAACTTTTTTTCTCACATTTCTAACTTCTGAATTCTGCCTTGTATTTAAGAATATTTTGTTTTTTTCTCAGAATTCCAATATTTCCTCAGTGTTTTGATTTTAATTTAAGAATTTTATTTTTTTCAGAATTCCAAGTTTTTTCTTAATATTTTGACGTTAATTTCAGAATTTAATTGTTTCTCAAAATTTTGACTTAATTTTTGTTTTCTCAGTGTTCCTAATCCTCTTTTGTACAAATTACTTAAAAGGAACCATGTGACATTTGTAAACCAACTACTCTTCAAGCATTAAATATTCCTGACAGACTTTTCTTAAACATCCAGTTTGAGCAAAATGCAGAGGTTTTATTAAATCAGGAATCAGGGACTGAGTCTCTCAGTATTTCTGTCAGTGTGTTGTGTTTAGGTGTGCTGGTGCTGTGCTCTCTGCTTCCTACTGCTCTCTGTGATGGACGGAGGAAGGGAAAGGAGGGCGCGTGTGTCTCCATCACCCACCTGCTTGTGGCCCTTTACAAAGCCAGGCGGGGTGGGAAAGAGAGAAGGGCTAACCGTTACTGACAGGCCACTCTGTCGAACAAGGGGAGGCCCACATGCTGCCCGCTGACCCGAACAGAACCACCATGCGCAGCGTCAGAACGGTGCCAACATGCAGACAGAGTCCGCCACAGATATAACCCCCACCCCTCTGTTGCATTCGCTGCACGTCCTGCGCATTCCACACGGGCGCAGCAGGCTGGTGGGGCCATGCCACAGGACAGCACACTCAGCTTCCCCCGCTGAAGCCCCGGAGGTGACAGGTGACAAGCCCACAGACACAGAGGACATGCTCCAGCATCCGTCAGACCGGACCAAACGCAGAGCGACTCAAACCAGACTGAGAGTGAAGCAGAACACATCGGGAGTGTGAGAGTGGAAGAGGTCGGGTTTGATCCACTCATAACGTTCGTTCACACTGCAAAAAAAAAAAATCTAAATCTTACCAAGAATTTTGGGTTGAGTTTTTAATGCAAATATCTCAGCAGACTTGAAATGAGATAAAAATAACTTAGAAATAACTTTTCAGAAAGATATAAGAGCTTGCTGTCAATCAATTAAAAAATATGATCAGATTAATCACATTCTACGATTAATCACCAGGTTCAACTTGAATGTGAAAATGAAAACTTTCACAAAACGTTTCAGAAAATGTTTTATTGTCTCAGTTTTCACATCGTCACTTTCCTAACATAATCCCCAAGTAATTTTTTTTGCCAAAATAAATTTCTTTTTGGAAAAATCACTTTTGACAAAAATATTTTTTTTAAATAGTGGCCTTTATTTGACAGTAATCTGACAGCAAGAGGCAAAGAAAAATGGGGAAAGATTTGCAGCAAAGGAACTGAGGACGTCAGTCGAACTCAGGACTGTTTTATTGACATTATAGTTCCTCTGGCAGATTATTTCTCTTACAACATGATATTTTTCCTCATATTTCATTTGAAATTATCTGCCAGTTGAGCTAGTAATTTTTCATAAATATTAAAAAATCACTAATGCAAAACAAGCTCATATTTCTTCATGAAAAGTTAGTTTCGTCTTATTCCTAGTGTCAAAATTTCCTCTAGAAACTAAAACAAAAATATTTGGAAAGATTTTGTGTTTCTGTTAGTTTCTCTTCTTATCCACACCCAATAACACAATCCTCAGAGGATTAGATAAGGATTAGATAAGGGTTATATACCATGGCCAACAGCTTCTTACTGACAGTTTGTCAATATTTATTGATCCAACAATGATGGATACTACACTGTAAAACATTTGAGACACATACAGTTGTGTCTACTAACTTCTACTCTTTAAGTCTTTAAGTTATATATTTTGAACTTAAACATGTGAGTTTATAAAAGGTAAACATCTAGTTGTGTAAACTTTTTGTTAATAGCATGTTTTCTAGCATGTGTGATTTCGTTACTTTAACATGCCTCTTGAGTGTTTTTAAGGCAAATATACATTTTAAAACTGTTAGGATTAAAATTAAAGCAGAATTTATTGATTAGATATTTGTTCGAGGATTTAAATTCTTCAAACTTAAAACAAGTAGTTATTCTAACTTAACAGTGTAAGTGAAAATACAGAAATATGAACTTCAGAGTAGTTATCTTACCGAATGTGGAAAAAAATAGTTTAGATTACATTTTGAAGCTATGACACTTCACTATTAAATATTAATGTGCTACCAGAACTTAAAAACTTGTCTCCTGCTAAATCAATTTGATAAATTTCAAATATGAGTTAACACAAATTTAACTATTTTTTTTAGTTAAATAGCATTTCCAAAAGCATTTCCAAGTTAGACCACCTTTAAATGTTTTATAGTATAATATTGTTTTTATTTGAGCTTCAAGCTTTAATCTACATTTAGTCACCTTTGGTTTAATTTAAGGTGCTTTATCAATAAAGCCTATCCTATATTAAACATGCATAATAAATAAATATGTTAAACATGTATTTAATATATATTAATGCACGTAATTTTAAATACGAGTTATTTTTGTGCATAAATATTTATTTATGTATGCACAGCAACATAAAGAAGAAGTGACTGTAAAAATGTAATTTTGGACCAATACATGAAGAAAGCTGCTTCTATTGTTTAGGGATCGGATGTTCTGCAAAAACACAAAATCTTACCAAGTAATTTTGGTTTAATTTCTAGAGCAAAAATCACTTTAATGAGACAAAACTAACAAGTAACTTTTCAGTGAAAAATAAGAGCTTGTTTTAAATCAATATTTCCAGAATATTGATAAAAAGTTGTCGTTCCACTGACAGATTATCACTTGTCATCATGTTAAAAATGTTAAAATGTTTAGATGTTGAAAGTGAAATCATCAGCCAGTGAAACTAGTCATTTTTCATCAATATAAAGGAATTATTTGCTTAAGACAATCTCCTATATCTTGCTGAAAAGTTACATGTAAGTTAGTTTAAAAATAAATATTTTATTTCAACTACAATGAAATATTTATTTGCACTAGAAACTAAACCGTAATAAGATTTTGTGTTCATGAAGTGTTTTCAGTTTATTCCTGTGATCTTCCTGTAGTAGATTTTACATTTCAGTGAAAAGCTCTGCGGCACCAACTTACAAAACTTTGAAGTTTATTGCTTTTCGAGTCTGGGGGATAATGACCATGGTACAGAGCTGTAGTTCACTCTGAGATTCACTGATGTTCAGAAAGAAACAGGCTTGAGGTAACAGGATACTACGGTGCAGAGCAGGACGTCGTTTCTTCCTCTAAGTTTGGAAGAAATTTGGGCTCTGAGTCTAACCTTCCATCCACAGACATAATGCACTCCACTCCACTCTTTAAGCCAAACTCTGATGCCCTGCAGGACTCTAGCCATTTGGGACGTCACCTCACAGGAACACAATGCAGCAAAGACCAGATAGACAGAGAGAGAGAGAGACAGGAGAGTGAGAGGTTGGCTGCTGATCTAACACTAATTCTGGCAGGAGACACACACACACAGAGAAACACACACACCCACACACACACACTCATGCAGTAAAGTTGCAGTATTGTGATCAACCAGCTAACCTGACGGCCTTGTCCCCTCTGTATACGGCTGCTCTGAAATATCCTGCAACTCTAAGCAATGGTATTCACTGTTAACTTCAACGTCCTCATTTCTTTTTGTCATTAACGTAATTAGATATGTACCAGTACAAAACTATTTAATACTCTCTTTAATAATTCGAAGCACTGGTTTTTACTGGATGCTGGAGAAAGGACAAATTCCTTTCTCCACCTTGGAAATAAGCACTCACTTTGTAAGAAATGGGTTATGAATGACATAAATTACCTTGCAAATATCCTAGATTTACTCGATTCATGACATCACTCGCAGTGAGATTAGAAACATCCTCTACAAGCCAAGAGAGGGGAGACAGAGGAGTCAGAGAAAGAAGGGGAAAAAACAAAAAGAAGAAGAAATAAAAAAAAGATCAGGCAGGCAGTGAAAGCTTTTGAAACTTATTTTTTGGTGACACGCTTAGAGAGCAAAGCAAAGAGCTCATGCATCGCTGTGTGTATGAAAACACCTCCAGATGATTGAGCTTTTAAATATCCTGCAGCAAAGGTTTAAACATCCCTGCTACAATGCACAGTTTTTGTGATTTTAGCAGCCAAGATAAATCATTTAGGACCTTTTCCAACTTATTGTGAGAGAAAAACGAAAAAACAAAACTTTTAGAGGAGGAAAATAGAAAAGCTGGAATAAACTCAAGTTACTTATTTGGTGAAACACCTGTCTGTCTGCAATAAAGGAGTTGAGCTGTTATAGTGAGATTTGAATTATTTAAGCGAAGCTACCGTTTATCAACAATAGTCTTACTAAAACTCTCTTTCAGACTTCTAGCACCAGTCCGACTCCTGTCTGGGCCTGTCACAATAATCAATGAATCAGCTAATTGCATGATAAATTAAAACAAACTCAATCATTTCCATTTGCATAACATTTGCATAACTTTTTCTCTTTTCTCTACAGGAAACTGATAAAAATCTTCAGTCTGGTGCTTTGGTCTCAACCGGCTCTTTATTTGAAGAACAATTTTGTTTACAGAAACGCTATAATTTATTTTATTTGTTGTTTCTGTATTGTTTATTTATTTTTGAATATTTAAATTGTCTTCTAGTTCCAGTGTTAGATGAATTTAAAGTAAATTCTCTTTGAGAATCTGTTCTTACATTGTTATGCCATCGGCATTATGTTAGTTGACGATGGTCTTAAAACAACAAAGTCACTGTTTATTGCTTCTGAGACAATTTTGAAAGTAAACTAAACAAAAGAATTGATTGTAAAAAAAAAACCATATTAACTGGAGGATAATGGTCAAAAGCATTGCATTGGAAATTTCTGAAATGATTCATCAGGGTTTACGTTTTTAAAATCACAAAAACATTTACAAAGGTGTGTAAGCTTCTTAAATCGACATGAAACACAAAGGTTTACAGCTGCAACACATCTGGAAAGTGGTTCTGATTTTAAGCATGAAGCAGAAAGAAGGAAATGCATGAAACTGAAGAGAGGAGGATGCAGGCAAAATGCAACTCATTCAAAGTTTAATGCTCCTGCATCATCATGCAGTATCTGCTCATGTTCACTTGTTTGCATGATCTCATGTGTGTGAATTATGGCTGCATGGATGTTAATGAGGGTTACCAAGGAGATGGGATTTTCTGAAGGATCATGGTAGTGAAATTAATGAAATCCACCATGGAGAGAAATGGGATGAGATTAAATAGCTGTACCACAGATTGGAGTTTTAAACACAGCTGATCCCACAACAGAATAATTTAACTGGTTGAGTTGAGCCTCAGTGGGCAAAGCATTCATGGAACATGGAATAGACTCTTCTAACTTCTACAAGTTTACTTTAAAATGTAATATTATTACCATAATACTATGGTAATAATATTACCATATTATTATATTGGTGTTTTGATGGAAGTAAGCAATACTTTTTTATTCAAGCAATACTGACACCTGGTTTCAGATGGATTCTCTCAAGGCTTTACGTCACATTTTTCATCAAAAAAAGAAAATTTACAAACCATATGAGCCAAAAAAAAGTGACAGACTAACATTATTCCTGTATAAATGAAGTGGAATTACTTAGAGTTAATTTAGCAAAGAACAGGTCTCTCAACGTCAAGTCTTGTAAAAACCCTCTTTATGGTTGTTCCACCAAAACAAATCCAGCCCCACACAAGAATGGTGCTTGAATTCGATCTTATCTGGTTTTACCAGCTTTCATCACAGCAGACATCTCTTCCAGTTCAAGGTCTGAATTTTTATGGATGACTGCAATGCAGGAAGACAGTTTAGCTATCTATGTATAAGTCTTATTTTAAAATTATTTATAATATATTGTTGTTTTCACCAACAAGTGGTCCAATGATTAATACAAAGTATATTTTACTGTTAGTTTCAAGCATCTGACATGCTGATGTGAGTGAATCTATATCAATTGAGACAGCATAGCATAGTGTGAGACTAAGAAATGGGTCATTGGTGCAACATTAGTGTTGGAGCATTTGCTTACTATGGTGTTGTGTCTTCCTACGCCACACAATATGATAGTCCAAAGTGTGAGAGGGGTAAAAGTGTTTCAGTTCCATGTTTGCACTGTAATCAGTTTGGTGGGATCAAACCACTCTCTAGCGTTCAACGAAAGATAAATTAAGTAAAAGTTGAGACTATGGACTAGTCAGGTTGATGATGTATAGATACGTGGGCTGGACAATTAAAAAATGCAAGACACAAATCTGATGTCTAGATTTCTCTGGAATGACCTTTAAAGTCAATTCTGCATTTTAAATACTGTCTCAGTTTTGCATCGGTAGATGCACAACTGGAATCAGAATAAATTATATTTTTGTCATGAAACTACACTGAAGATATTATTACATAAAATTTATTCAATCTTTTCCAGATTTCACCAATTTTCAGATCTAAATTTGTCACTCAATCTGTGTAAAGTTTGCTCACTGAGTATAAATTCAACCAACTACATTACATCTGCCTCCCAAATTCAAATTATTTATTGAAATACCCCTCCAATCTGCAGCAAACATTCACAGTTGCATTAATAATTTTTGAGAGGAAATGACCATTGCAATTGGATGGAAGAAAGATAAACACAAATAATTGTCAACAACTATATTCAAGTATTTCACACAATAAATATTGTTTGAAGTTTTCATTCCTTGAACTTTCGCGCTCACCGTATCCCACGGTCGGGAGGCCCAGATGCTTCATCCGGTTCTTGACCAGCTCCGACAGCTCCTGCCTCTCAGAGCGCCGGTACATGCTGAGTCTCTGCTGCGTGATGCGCTCCGCTCTGCTTGGCGGTTTGGCATTTTTCCTGCTCAGCCGCCGAGCCCACTGCATGCTCTTCTTCCTCAGCAGCGGATGCTCCGATTGGTCACTCGTGGTGGAGTTTCTGTGGGCTGTTTTCTCTTTCCAGGACCCTGTGCGGCCCTGATGCTCCTCCCCATGCTCGGCGTTGATGGACACTTGAGACTACAGCAGCAGTGTGAAGAGGAAATGGCTTTCTATGAAACTTTGAAAGCAACAAACATTTGTCTCTTATACACATCTTTCTCTCTGTCTTACTTCTACTAACCAGGTAGATTATCAAAACAGAGACTCACCTGTGCATTACTGTCCTTCTTCTGAAAGAGAAGGCAAAGGAGACATCCAAACAAAGAAAGATGCAGTGAAAGATGAAGCATTCACAGCAAAGGAAGTCACTGAAGCTTAAAAATCAGCTTATTAAATAGTAAATATGGCATATTTACTATTTCAAAATTCATGTTAGCAATTAAGTCAGCTGCTGGTCATTTCACCCCTTCACTCATTCATATTTCAATTGTTTTGGTCATTTTGAACTCAAATTTTTCATGGAACTATAACCCACTAGGGGGTGAATTCATAGACATTCTGGCAACAAAAATTATTTAAAGTGATTTTCTAAATTGTATACATTGGCTAATGTAAAGAGCCTGTGTATACACTTATAGTTAATTTGGTTTCATTGGAAGTCATAATTTGTCATACTTTATAATAGGCTATAAAGTTTGCATGAAATGTTACACAATCAAATTAAATTACACCATTCATTTCAAATACTTGCAGTAGGCTGTGCAAACTTTTAATATCTGAATTAGTAAAAGGGTAAAATGACCTGAAACCATTTTATTTGTTTGTTTGAAATTAAATGAAATAATTCAACACTGTTAAATAAAACACAAAACAAATAGAATTAACCAGGCAAATGGTTAATTTCCCTCTTAGTTGCTGTTAGCTTGCAACATTTGTCTAATACAACAACTAATGAAGCAAACAAGAAGAAAATCCATTTAAACTGCAGCAAAGTAAAAGTAAAAAGAAGCATAATGCAAATGGAAAGAATCAGTGAGAAAGAATAAAGATATTCCAAAGTTAAGACTATTGAAATAAAACTCTCTAATTTAAAAATTAAGATGGAAATTAAAGCCAGATTTGATGGGTTGGTCCGGATCTGAAATGACGCGATTTATTGAACTTTGCTTGCCTCTGACGTAGAGAACATGTGCGACTCGGTGCGGTAGATCCCGATGGGAATTTCAGCACTGGAAGAACAAAATTTCTGGAAGAGTCGGCCATAAGTCCTGATCCACAAATCTTCCTCCGTGATTTTCATCTGAGGACGAAGAAAAAAAAAAGCAGTCGAGTTGATTCATTTCACACAAGTTTTATCTTCTGAAACTCTGAGGTTTTGTTACGTACAACACACAGGTGGCCCGATCCGGGGGTGGTGTCCAGTCCGAGCAGAAGCCGTGTAATAGCGATCATGTAATCCTTAACAAACGACTGTCAAAAGAGAAGAAAAAACCTCCAGGTGATAATTTACCTGAGGCGGTACAGCAAGAGAAATTAGGCTGTGCAGCAGAGCTGTGCACGCCTGAGGTCTATCATCATTTTAATCTTTTCTGTAAAGGTCAACTCTGCAGGTCTGTTTTCCCACCTGGTACAGCAGCGTGTCGAGCATGCTGATGCTGAACACCCGGCCGGCAGCGAACGGCAGCCGGAACATGAAGGCCAGGTTGGAGCCCTTATCCCGCTCAATCTGAAAAATAAGGGGGAAAAAAAATGTCCAAGTATAAATGAAAACATTTTAATCTGTTTATTCAACAGCTGTTCTTTTATTTTGCTCCAGCATGCTCTGCAAAAACACTAAAAATGACCAAGTACTTAAAACTAACTTATAAGTAACTTTTCAGCAAGATTTAGGTTGGTTTTAAGTCAATAATAATAAGTCTTTATTTTTAATAAAAATCTACTAGTTTTTTTTTATTAATGCGAAGTAAAATTTCGTGTGATATTGTCACCTTCTTAAAATAATTATTCTTAATAATAGTCATTATTTTGGAGATGATTGTGTGTCATTTGAAAAAAACATTAACAAAATGAATAAGGATTCTTTACATGAAGAAAAAAAAACCCCTGTATATAAGTATTTGGTGATGCAGGGTAATAAATGATCATATGGACAAATATTGTTTTCTATGGAATACCCTAAAGGCCAAAAGTTTGCAAGCAGTTTTAGAAGCAACTCTAAGCTTCTCTTCACAATTACCTTTTTTTTCTTTAATAAAAGTGGGATGTACTTACTGTATAGACAGACTTTTCGTTCATTGATATGCACGATTTCCCACAATTGATGTTACCAGACCATTGCTGAATGAATGTTAAAAGAAAAGAGGCTTAGTTTTATTGCTGACAAGAATGCTCAGTCAGTGCAAAAAAAAAAGTAAAAATAAATAAAAAAATACAGTTTGCATATCGTGCATATCATGTAAAACTACATGGAAAAAGCCAAGTCCATGCAAAAATAACTGAAAAATAAACAAAACACAGATTCTATTAGCGACTTTTTTTTTTTTTTTTACAGCATTTCATTTTGGTTGAAGTAAAGCAATGAAACCATGTGTGGAAAATGAATCTAGCTTCCAAACTTTTGGCCTGTTGTGCATATCTAGCCCAAAGTTTCTTTGTTTAGTTGTGTCTCGTTTAAAGGTGGAGCCACTGAGGGACCTACTGGTGTCGTTATCAGTGTTTTACAGAAACGACTCCACAGAAAGTGTTTTCCTTACCCATAGTTTCCGTAGTCAATGTCTCCGTTCAGCTGTGTCTCCTTCCTGCGGCTTGTTTTTCAGTGACTCATGTGAAAGTTATTCACATGTGATTTAAACCTAGTTTCTTATTTACTAGAAACACATCAATTAAAAAATTGTGTTTTTTGAGATTAGCAGAATATTGACAAAGTTTTGCACCCATTTGTAATTTGAACACAGATTCCTGTTGAAGAGGAGTGTTTCCTTTCTACTGTCGCCATGAGGGATTATTGGAACGGTAATTTGGACACAGTAGCCCAGTTTTCTTAACTAGACTTTATTGTGTTGTTTTAGTATGTAATTAGATCTACCTCCGTATAAACGTGTGGATTGTTCTGGAATCAACTGAAGTGATTTGAACTAGATTTGGACAAAAATATTATTTTTAGTCAGATGTAAATCAAACTTGTTTCATTTTTATTGAACAAGAAGTTTAAGATAAACTCAATTCAACTGAGTTGCAAGAATGTATAATAAGTAATTTTGAGATGTTCTACATAATTCACCAAAGCATCACCAGGTGAATTTGTTTTATCTTTGTGCAGTGTTTTATGTTAAAACTTAATAGTTTTGTTTAATTCAAAAGCCGGTGTTATTCATTTAATAACACCGGAAAGATTTTATAGAACAAGTTTTAGTCAAAAACAGACAACGGTGACTGATGGAAAAATACTTAAACTATTATGTTTTCTGACAGGCAAACTAGTCAAGACGTAAGGGTACGTTTGGTCTATCAATGTAAAAAAAAAAAAAAAAAAAAGTAATAGCGCCATAAAGTTATTTATTTGCTCACCAAGTAGCTGTAAAATATATTTTTGTCTTTGTCAAACAGAAAAATGATGTTCTAAGTTAAAGATCTGTCTAGAAACACCAACCTTCTCCAGTTTGGACAGAGCGAGCGAGTAGCAGTCCTTTGCTCTGAACTGCATGAACCTCATGTTGGACGGATGTGTGAGCTCCGTGATGATGCTGAGACTGGGGAACAATCTGAGTGAGGAAGAGGAAAGATGAAGGGCTCTTTTTCCACAGAAATAAAAGCTTTGTACACAGAAGACGCCCATTTTAAATTCTTTTACAACATAAAAGAGTACTTTCACATCTAAGTTGAAGTTTAAAATGAACTGATTCTGATATCTGAAGTAGTGAAAAGAGACAGAATCCATTAAGTGAATCCAGTTTTCACTAGAGCTAAAGAGTTAGGCTTCAGAGTTAATATTCGTAAACAATAAGCCTCTCCATTTGTTACCTGAACATTGTCTGGACATTGACAATAGTCTTGGCGTCTGCCATGTAGTCTTCCTCAGCACTCATGGTGCTCTCCTTGTCCACAACCACCAAGTTATCAGCATAGATTATTCCACACTGCAGCAGGTTATCCAAACTGATACATTTGAGAAACACGTATTTAGAAATTCTGGTATTACTGCTTTTCTGCTTCAAATAAAACAAATAATCATCATGTCATACTTCAGATCACTTACTTATCAATAGTTCCTGCCATGAAGTAAACCATTGGAAAGCAGCAGATGGCCTCTAAGAAGTGGTTGTCTGGTCTGCAGGAAATAGGAGGATTCGCTAAAAAAAGAGCTGCTAATGGAAAATCAACAAGAACCAGACATTTCCTGGCTCCACATTTGTATGATTTTCTTTTTCGCTTCGTGACAAATGTGATTGAAAATTTAAACAGAAAAAGAACTAATCTCCAAAAATTATGGATATTTGCACAAACAAAGTCGGGGATGTACTACAGATGCTATTCGTGTTTGTTTTGAAATGAGACTAACAAGTCATTAGGTGTAGTCATTAGTTCTTACTGCCGTTACAGCATGTCCACTGGTTCTGCATCTTTGTACGAGTGAAACAGTCACACATGAAGCTGGAAAAGAAGTCGAGGAGTCTTACGGATAGTCCAGTAGCAGAACTATTGGGTTGAGCTCCTTTCTGGGCCGATAATAAGCTCGCAGGGGAACTATGAAGTTATAGAGCCCATTTCCTGCCGTCTCTGCAGACACTATAATCAGCTTATTCTTGAAGCCGTAGGCCTTAGCATCCTCAAAGCTGTTATGTGTGCAGCCCTGGGTGGAGACAGAGTTCAGCAGGAAGTTGTCAGGCTTTTAGCAGAGAAATCACCTTTCTTATTGTCTCTGTATTGAGTAAGAGAAAGAAAGAAAGAGAGAGGATGTAGGGAAATGTTACGCTGCCGTTTCAGCTTCACCTTATCAAGGCGAAGGCAGCAGAACGGAGCTTTCTGTGGCAGCAGGTGGCACAGAGTTGGAGAGCTGCCGATGTAGGGGGAGTTTGGAGGGTAGCCCTTCACAAAGCTAACAGACAGGAAACAGAAATTTAGAGGTGATTGAAGCCTGTGCTAAAACATAATGTAAATACAAAGCCTTGTAAAATATCTTTATCAACCTATGGCATATTTTGTGAAATAAACAACAACTTTTATGTGGCAGAAATAGGACTTAGTTGTTAAGTGACAAGAAAAAGCATTCTTCGTTAAAAGTTGTTGTCCTGCTGGAAAGTTAACCTTCGCCACAGTCGTTCATTTTTTGATGTTTTTTTTATGACAGCATTAGGACAGGAAATGGGCAGAGAGCGAAGGAAGAAAGACATGAAGCAAAGATGTGGTCTATCTGAGATGACAGGATTTATCCAAGGAGATCAGAGTGAAGTAAACTCAAAACAAAATTAACCTTCAGATTTTTATTTGTAAAAATAACTCCATTCATTGAGGTTTATGGTTGAAATGTGACAAAAATTGTTCAAGTTTGAGAGTTATAAATACGTCCTCTTGCAATTCAACTTGTGCAAAAAATATTTTGTTTTTCTTTTAATATCCGGTATCTGGTTTCAACATAAAATAAATCTCTCACCATAAATAACTGTTTTCAGAAGAAAGTTTCAGTTTCCCAGCCTTTCATCAGTTTCTGCTGCAGCTTTAATCCATTTACTGATGACTTGCAGCCTAAATTACATGTTAAAGTAAAACAACTTGACTTGTTTTGATTTGCATTTAAGTGGCAGCTTGATTTATTTCATTTAATTTGTGATGCATTAGCCCAATCGGTTGTATCACCTTAAGTTGCCAGTTTGACTTTCCAGGATTTCTGTAGAGGCAGATGCCAGTTAATCGCCACATGATGGCGCTCTGGGACCTTAAATTTCACTGCACTTTTTTCTTTACTTGTTTCAACACTAGCGCTGGGTCTCTGCAGTAACAGAGGCCCAGAAGACCATGTTTTGTTATGAGCATCTTTAAGAGACCTGCTTATGTTGGGGTCAGTCAAAATTGGGATTAGTGACTGATTCCTCACTGCATCCGAGTCCCTATCTATCACATTTTTGTCATAAGAAATATCACTAAAGATTTTCTGGAGATGCTGTGATGTTGACTGCGTCAGGGACATTGGCAAAAAGGATCCGTGTAGCATCAACATCACTAGAAGAAATAAGCTGACCTTTCTGTCATGACATTAGTCACTGCGTTTTCCAGCATTATGACACACCGAAAATACGCCTGCTGAAACCTCATCTATCTCTACAGCTTCTTACAGCCAATGAGGGATGACGGAGAGGAAGAAAGGAGAGATCAATCAATTTCAAAATGCAGAACGCAGCTGCCTCTCTAAACACCCCAAACTGAGGAAACCTCCAGTGCTTCGGTGTTTCTTCATGCACTGAAACACATCCGCTCTACTTACTCCGACCCCACGGAGCCCTCCTCATCTGATTGGTTGGTCTCGTCCTCCGATTGGTCACTGAGGAGGTCACAGGGCAAGATGGCGGAGGAGTCAGCAATTTCCAATACGGGTGCGATGCTTGGCCTTCGACTTCCAGCTCCGTTCTCGGTGGGAAGGGTCAGTTTTCCACTTTCCTCCGGCGGATCAGGGTGCTGGAGATCTATTGCTACAGTCCCTAAAAATTACACGGGCGCCGTCAACTGATTTAGATTATTTCATAAGTGAAGCAGAAATTTCATGATGCACAACAATTATACAGCTCTTTTAATATAAAAACTGACCTCCATTTGTACATTTCTGACACTCAGCATTTTTTATTTGTTTACTCAGCAGAACTTCCTCTTACAACTTGAGGAGAAAATGTATTCAGAAAAATGCTTTGTGTACACAGAGTAGCTTGTAAACTACAGTCACAGAAGTTTATCTATAAATACAGAAAATACTTGACATACATCATATAGTATGATGCATATTATAATATGATGCATAATATGATGCATGAACACTCCATAATGCATCTGTTGAGTTCAGGACAGAAACGATGAATTGGATTGATTGATTATTGAAATAACTGTCAACTATTATTTATAAATCAATTAATTTGTCAATTAGTCAATAAATTAGTTAGCTGGAGTATACAGAACCAAAAACAGGCCATTCTGAGAGAAGTAATTAAACCAAAACTGTACAAAAAATATATATTTACTTTAAATTGCATTAAATATGCACCTTTGTCTATCCAATTATTAACTATTCAACAGATTAGTCCCATATTCTGTTGATAAGTCAAGGAAAACATCACATGTTGATGTTAAAAGGATTTATTTAACTGCAATACATCCGTTGCTACAAAAGATCAAGCATATCCAAAAGGAGTGCTATGTTGTTGCGCTTTAGGTAATAAAATGTTTCTTATTCAAAAAAAGGAATAATTCTTTATTTGTTTGCATCTTTTAATGTACTTCTAATATTAAACAAAAAAGTCTCAAGTTGTAAAATAAAAAAATCCGCAGAATGTTCCTTTTTTTTTGAATCCAACTAATTAATCGATAGAATAATTGTTTATTTAAATTATCATTAGTTGCAGCCCAGATTGAGTGGATGCGCTGTACATGAACATTTGTACAGCACATCCAGGTTAAGTAAGGTATCCCTGAGAAACTGTTAAGAAATATATAACAACATTATGGTGTAAGAAGAAACATGGATGCATCATGCATGAACTTACCATATGAGGTGGTCTGATCAACTTTCACAGGTCAAAAAAACAAAAACAGGCACATAACAATAGTCAGCCGATAAAGTAAAGGAAAGCAGGTCAGTAAAAAAATCATGCAAAAGCATCAACCAGGCAGCCACCATTCAGAAATGTACAAAATGCAGTTTTGATTAAAAATAAGCATCTATTTTCTCTTTCACGCCAACCTACATAACCTCCCACTGATTGTTTCATGTCATTTCTGTCTGGTTTTCAGTCTTACCCATGCTGGCTATGATGCTATGCACAGGGAGCCTGGAGGGGGCGTCGTAGAGCCCGGTGACGGGGAGACCCTTCCCATGTTTTTCCTCTTGTTTGAAGATGAAGGCCGAGTTCTCCTCCTTGGTGATGTTGATGTAGTAGCAGGTGTCGGTAGCAGCCATGATGTGACGCGGTCCAGGATTCAGGAGGATGCTCTTGTTGTCCTCCCTCTTCACCCCGATCAAACACACACCATACCTGCAGGGAAATTCAAAACGTTATCATGTCATATTTGCCACTAATTCAATCAAAAATTTGGCAAAGGACAATTCGCTGACTTCTTATGGGCATGAAAGGAGGCGTAGGTGAAGCTCTTTCCATCATACTCCCCAAAAAACTTGCTGTCAGCTAAATGGATGTGGTACACCTCGTTCCCAGAGCAGCGGCCATAAGTCCTCTGCCACGGCTCGGGGGATGTCTGCCCCTCCCTGGGAAAAGAGCACTTCATTACTTACTGTTTTATTTATAGCAACAATTCATATCATCCTTTTACAGATGTCTATAGACACAGTTTACACTCTATAAGGTCAATAAAGTCACATTGTCCTTTATTTTTCAGGATTATTACAAAAAAAAAAGAATTAAATTCAATTTTGATCAGATTGAAGTTGGGATTCTTGCAGGTTGGGTAAAGTAAAATATAAAAACTTAATCTGCTGGGTTTAACATTATGCGTTGAGATTTCATCACTTTTTATCACAATTTCTGTTTTCCTTCATTACGTTCAACATTTTTGTAGCAGAGATCAAACTGTGACTAATTTTAATGATTACTAACATAGTAGAAAAGTTGTATAGTTAGTAATTTATTTAAAAAAATTATTAAATCTATATTTTCAATAGTGAGCTTTAATAAACAAACAAAATAATGTTTTTTTGATTGTCAATTAATCGTTTCAGACTGAGAGTCGTTGCTGTAGGCAGTGAAAGTAGGGCAGGGATATTTCAACCACCAAAGAGCACCGACTGTTAAAAATAGTTTTACTTTGGACTTTACAACTGCGACAGAAAAGCTTTTTCAAGATGTTTTCTCTTTACTAAGTGCAGAGGGGAAGAGAAGTCCAGCGACGACCAGAATCCTGCTGGCAGATGAAGAGTACGGCAACATTTAGCTGGATGTTTATGTTCTGCAGACTGGAATGTTGCATTTAATTTACTGAACTGCTAGCATCGGATCCAAGGGTCTGATTGTGCATCCATTTATCGGATCCTTCACAATAAGAGTCTTCAAATGGCATCAAACTCATTAAAACCATTAAAATATGTCGATCACTGTATGTACACGTCAGAGCAAGCAGAGAAAATACAATATATAATTCAACTTTTACACATAATTCTTACTAATCAAAAATTTGACATTGTGTGAATAGTTCAGATAATTTATTAGCAGCCCAGGTTTGACAGCACAATTGTGTAGACATGTGAAGGAGAATAATAATTTATGCTTAAACTACTTAACAGAACCATAACATCTTTGAACTCTTATTTCAATTTGGTTGCAAAATATTTACAATTTAAATAATTGAATCCCTTCCTGCTCAGTCATCATCATCCTCCTCAGGTCTGGTCACAATGGGAAAGGAAGCTGGACACACATGCTATGACTTTCAATTGTGTTGACAGTGTTTAAATTAACACCTGTGGCTGAGATACTGACTTTGAATTTTTATCACCTTCACAGGCAGAAGCCAGTGACAGTTTCCATAATAGGCACAGATGTGCCTTGCTTTTAATTTGGCGAGAGAAGCTGATCAAATAGACGGGCAGATTTACAGGCTAAAAGAAGAAACAGGTGATGCTCAGTGACACAGTTTCTGCTGTGCTGGCGGATCATCAGACACTCTGGAGCCTGTGCAGCTAAAAAGACGATTCCACTGAATTTATTTTTGATTAAACAGTCAAGTAACGTTAAATCTGCTCAAGTGAATAATAATCAGAATGTAAGTACAAGCATGAAGTCTCTCATTTGTTTTTCAAGCTCGGCTCTTGATTGCTATTGATTGTTTGGACTCAGTAGTAATCCCAGCTGTGAAACCTTGAAAGACGATGGAAGAAACATCAAATTATTACAAGAACAGACTTAAAAACTGGCAGCAAGTGGATGCTTAAATAAATATAGCTACTGAATTGCCAATTATATTGTTGCAAATAAAATGCAACAGCATGACAGAAAATAACTGCATATATGGAAGAGGAAATTTATTGTTTAGAAGCAGAACCTGGAAATCTCTCACATTGATCACAGAACAGATTGGTTTCCAGGAACCATCACAGAAAAGCACTTTTGCTGAAAAGATCCTCTATGCAGGAAATGGGGGTGAACTCCCTGGAAGCAATAGTTGGGGTGCATTTCTCCTCATGCATCAGAAAACAATTTCTATGTCAGACAAAGCTTTTCTCTTCAAGATTAGAGAATAATTCAAATTTGGTTTAGAAAAATTTCAGTTTTTCTGCTTTTAAGTCTGCTATCACTGACGCTGTTCTTCCTGCCACACAGGAGATTTAAGTATTGATATCACATGTGTGAGCCAAACTAATTTATCTTAAGGATCTAGAACAAAAATAACACAAAAATTGTATTTTTTTCCCTCTCATCCGGTTCACTGCAGCAGCACCGCCTTCATCTTTCTCAATCTAACAAAGATGGCAAAACCAAATCTCTGAGTGTTTAAACAAAATGACATTTTAGTTGCGTTGAATCATAAATACAAAATATCAATATTCAAAGTAAAACACTGAATAATTCTGTAAGAAATGTTCTCCTTTGAGGAGTTAGCCATGTTCAGTAAACATTTGCTTGGCTTTGTTTCAGAGAAAACATCTGCAGGACAGCTCCTCTATGAATCAGTAAATCAAGATGCTACATGTTTGTTTTCTTTGTTTAACCCCACATATTACAAATAAACATTTAAATGAGCAATTTATGTCATGTAAAAGTAGATTTTATTAGCTAGGTGCCACTGTTTTGAATTTGTTTTTAAATTTTTGAATTGAAGTTGAATAATTATAAATTAACTCCACTAAAAAAAGGTGTGGATTGTTTAAGATTTCACAATAACAGTAGTTTTTACTCACTGTCCTCTGGAGGTGTGAACCAACAGAGTCACTAAGGTGGATGTGGCTGGACACACGCAGTTGAGAGCCAACATGGCGTACTTGAACTCCTCTTCACATACAACATGATCTGTTGAAAAAATATCATTTACAGTCATTTCTAGATTTGAAAAGTTTACATACATTTTGTATTTCTGAAGATATGTATATGTTTTCAATTTACCTGCAAATTTTACATGAAACTTATTTTCCGGTTTGAGAATTTGGACGTAGAGAGGACAGTTTGGAGCGAAGTCCTTTGCAGCCCAAGCCCTCAAAATAGTCTGGTGATCCTGCAGCAGGAGAAATATCGGTTTTCTTTGCCAATAGTACAATTTTCAGAAATTTTACAGAGCCTCAACTTTCTCTCTATTAATTCAGGATCTATTTTCTTAAAATGACCTCATTACTTTACTTACAGCAGCAGTTCGGTCGACTTCATTCCTGCTGCTCAGGATGAAGCACGCCTCAGCATCGTCCATCCTAAATGAACCAGGCAGGGATTCAGCTGATCACGCAATTTAATAATTAGGTAAATTTATGCTCAGTTTGAAAATGTTCAAATGTCCCCACACAAAAGCTAAAAAAAAAAAGAAAGAAAATAATCTGCAAGATGATATTAAATGATATAGAATTAATGGAATAACTTGAAGTTCAGATTATTGTTTTTATTGTTTTGCAGAACATCCGTATTTTCATTTTGTTTGTGCATTTAAAGGCATTTTGTGACATCCTTTTGAAATGTTTGAAAAATGTCAAAATTGTTGATTTGAATCTTCAACAATTTTTGTTGCCAATTTAAAATGAAAAAAGGGGCAGGAGAGAAAGGGAAGAAATCATCCTACACTGTTAATTAAATCAAAGATACCAACATTACGGAGCTCACTCTGTGAAGCAGAATTATAAATTATGATTCAGTCATAAAAAGATATTCAACAGTATCTGGCTGTAAGATTATGCAGCAAAGGATTTACTGATACAGAAGAAAATTGGAGATGATAAAAAATCTGGGAAACTTATTTTTTAATGGCTGCAGCCTTTGTTCAGTGCAGATGATAAATGTAGGGTAAAATACTATTCCATTGATGTGCAAGCAGAGGGCAGCCAAGAGGACTTGCAGCTAATGCACCATGTAACTGCTGCCTACTGGCTTTGCGCTGCCACTAGACCACTTTGATTTTACAACCAGCTGAGACTTTTTAAATGTTTAGATTTTACTGTAAACATGTGCAGGCTGAAACTCACTTGGCCCTCATCAGGTCCTGATCTTTGAGGGCCGACCCTTGCAGGTAGATGACCCTTTGAGACCACAAGGGAATCTGCAGGATGCGGCGAACCTGAATGTCTATTTCTGTTGGGCATAGGATCACCACATAGTAGTCCTGTGAAGCAAAACGGACAGATGTTGTCTTTTCAGGGATTCAATCACTTCCTTTAAAATCAACAAACTTCATGTGAGACTAGGGCTGGGCAATAAGTCAATGAAAACATATATGTTGAAAAATATATGAGGCAACATGATTTTTTGAATATTCAAGAACAGCAATCTGGGAGAGCAAAGACTTTGGCTGCTCAACGTCTCACAGCTAGCTAAGTAAGTTTGGTGGCATCAACTAACTCCCTCACTTCTTTGGTCACTTAGCAACAACCTGCTGAGTAGGTTGTTGCCACCAAACTATATATATGTAATTGTGACGCAGAGTTTGCACAACCCATTTAAAGTTAACAGACCTGTTCTCTGGAAATGTTATAATGTGTCTTACGGTTTAGTGTGAACACCACAAAATTGCTACTTTGTTGAGGCACTTTTTGAAAACATTTTTCACTCCTGCTAACAGGAAGCGTATCATGTAATAAAGTCTGGATGCTCCAGCAGGATTTTCTCAACATTTGCATCCACAGACCGAAGCAACAAGAATTTAAATGATCCCATTGTGCAAAAGTTTACAATCGCAAACAGACAAATTGGAAACTTGTGACTGCCGATGCCGAAGGTGTGGTTTGAATTCAGTAGGAAATATTTGTAGTCAATTAAGAATAAGCTGGTGGGCTATTTGGTTCAAACTCTGGTTTTCCCTGTTTTACGTTGCATTGTCTTTTGGGGTCACACAGAAAAGAAAAGCACTCTAAAACACTGGCCTCTGTACCTGCAGCCTAGGATGAGCATAAAACTCATTGAGAAAATCCATCAGCAGGTCGATCTTGAGCGAGCTGACACACAACACAACATGTTTTTCTGTCTGCGCCCGGTGACGGCTGTAGTTTCCTCCAAGTTTCTGGCTCTCCATCCACAAGTACGCTAGCTCCTCAAACTGAAATATTGAAACAGAAACAATGGTTAAAAATAGCAGAAAGGGGGATGATTTTGTTTTTAGCCAGGACACTTAAAAGAAAAACTCCCACAATTAGTTTCACATGAAAAACGTGAAGCAGCCGAGTTTTCCAGCGTTGACAGATAATGCAGCGAGCATCTAATTAGGTCGACATTTTGACTGAGATGCAAAAACTCCTCCTGTAGCCTAAAGTCTGAAAATGTAAGACCCTCATTAGTTTTGATTTGTTGTCAGGGCACATCAGCTGCAAACAACTTCACATTAAAATTTGATAACAGACTGATAAAAAGCACATCTCTGCTGCAGAAAGTCAAAGAATTTAAAATTCTAGGAGACGGTTTATATGACGTCTGTTTTATTAATCCATACCTGCAGCGGAAGGACTACCAGAGCAACACAGATGAGAATAACCACCAGCAGCTGTGAGGGCCAGATCTGTGGAGTAACGTCGCCGTAGCCCACAGTGGAGAAGGTGACGATGCAGAAATAAAAGGAGTCAAACAAGGACAGGTTTTTCCCAGCTCTCTCAAGATGCTGAATCCCACAGGCTCTGCAGAAAGATAGGATGAATTATTTACATGCAACCAATGTCCTTCAGGTAAGGATGACTGAAATGAAAACACAATAAGGCTTGGCTAGTTATGGTATACCAAGGTTTTAAAAAGTTGCAGTTTTAAGACAACCAAAGGTTTCTCTAGTTGTTGCGCTGCCATTCCCCTACCCGTTTTTCTGCTGTTGGCCATACCTCCAACTCAACGCTTAAACTTGGTTGCAAACAGACGGGGAATAATACAACCACGCACCTTTGAAAAGCAGAAGTAGAACCCCCCGCCCAATCAGCAATAATCCACCAAGTGTTTTTCGGTTTGTAAGCCAATAACAAAACACTTGTCTTTTCCAGCAGCCATTGTACAGCACGGACAGTCGTACAACGTGGTGGGTCTCAGCACGTTTGATGATAGGTGATGTTATATTCAGAGGGTTTTCCAACAGTTCACTTTCCAGACACCAAAAAGCATTCATTTATTGATAAAAAAAAACTGTCTGGGTGTTTTTTTTTTTGAAGCACTTGAGCTTTTTTTTAGACGCAGTTGGACTCAATGGAAGTATAAAACCTTGCAAAAAGTAAACTTTGTGCAATATGTCCCCTTTAAAAGTATAAAAACCACCATAGAAAGAAATTGTTCTTTTTCTATTGAAAGTTAAGCTGATGTCTACATGTGATGCAAGCCTCAGAAAGACAAGTTGCTTCAGAATCACAATTTAGTTTTGTATTCGATCAAGACCAAAGGGCACCAAAGTCAGTGCAGCTCCTGTTCGGTATCTCATTTTGAAGTGACAACATTGATTGTTCTTTTGGTAATCTCCTTCAGAGGCTGTGCTAATTAATTAGGTTATTTTCTTTCTAAGATAAATTGAAGATTTAATGAAACCCTGAGACACGGGAAGTGAAGCTGCCTGACTAGATGGGCGGTGGTCATGGCTAACGAACACCGCCAGAGAGCGATGGCCGAGGAGGAACCCGCTTTGATTAAAACGGTGCTATAAAAGTCCAAATCGATAACAAACAAAGAGAAGGACAGATGAACAATTGAATGTCCATGTGTTTTCCTGGGTTAGTTGTAGATACTGCACAACAGACACAAGGCAGGACGATTAACATCAGGAAATTAACTGACATAAGATGTCGCTACTTGCAGGAAGAGCGAATGCTGCAAGCCAATGACTCAATGCAATCTCCACAGTGACTGTACAAAATATCCCTTTTCCCCTCCTTCTTCCTGCAAAGTAAGATACTTTGCAAAAAGTATGACAATATTACTATTGTGGACTACTGCTACAAATATACTGAATAAAATTTTATATGGGCTTTACTTGTAATCTAAAAATTACATAAAAATCAGCATATTATGCCTTCATAAATCAGACTGTTTTTAACTTGGTTGACTGCAGCAGATGTTATTTGGTTATTAATTTTAGGAAGATATTGCTCCTTTTTACATGGTGTATTTTATTGTTGTGAACGGAATTGAACTGAATTAAATTTTTGTTTATAATTTTGTTTTATTTGTAAATTTTCAAAGAACATTGTATTTATTGTGAGGAAAAATCTTAAAAAAGGGATGATAAACAATTAAAATTGGCAGGTCAAAGCTTTAGATATTGGTACAGAAAAATTTTCAATGCTGCATCTCTAATAAACACAGAGAATTAAAGTAATTATCTTTATTATCTAAATATCTTACCGTATACTCGGGCCTTAATAAATCATTTTTTTTACTACTGTAGACGTTACCAGCTTAATAATTTTAAGTACATATGCAGCAGCTTACATTTTACTGCGGTGCAGTTCAGTAAATTTATATCTTACAGAAAAACCTAAGCACATCTGGCCTCACCAGAAATGTGACAGCATGCCAGCAGATGTTTAAAGAACAGATGTTCCCTCACCCTGTGAACACCAGACACAGTAAGGTGCAGATGAGGATGAACACCTGGTTGAACATTGCAGAGTGCGTCCTCTGGATGGCACGATGGAAGTCATTCTGGGGGCAGAAGAAAAGATTATTGTCTCCATATTTTCTCCGGAGAATACTCTGCCTGTCATCAACTGAGAAAAGAAATGCAGTTTCTCCATTACCTTACAAAGTAAAACGTTTGCAGTGAAAGAACAGAATTTGATGTAAACCTGACAGGAAACTCTTTGGTTTATATTTATACTCTCACATATTGTAATGTCGTTTAGAATAAATGATAACTGGGTCATCATTTATAAAAAAGCACAACAATAAACTAACGTGTACCCCACAAATCGACAACATTTTGCTATATTACAATTCTTTATGTGCACAAATCCGCACAAATTTAACATACTATGGCCGTGTGTCTACATTAGCGAGGACAGTAGTCCGTCTTCATACGAAGCAGCTAATGAGTGGTTCTCAGTTGCACCTTGTTAGCATGTCCAGCCTGTCACCTCCTCCATGCTGGCCCAGGTTTTACCATCTGCTGACTGCAGCCTTGGCATGAAGCTCTCATCTTGTCATGACCTCGTCTGAATCTCAGTGATAGCACAGATCACACCAGTTACATATGATCTGACTCCTTTAAAAGTACTCAGGCAGATATACGTCTGTGCATTTGTTCCTTTCTTGTTGCATACATTTATTGGAATATATGCATAATACTCTTCTCTGCTGAAGAGTCATGAATGCATATTTTCTTCAAGCGAATCAGCCGACCGAAGCTGAAGAAGTCGCTGGTTTTAGCTTTAAAGACCAACTAATTAAACAGCACACTAATATATTGAAGAACCCAGAGTTGCTGATAACAGTGTCACATGGATGCCATTAGCATTACTGCCTTCAAAAAGATGCACTGCCTTGTGGACAGATTAGATGTAATTACAACACGAGAGACGACAACTAACCCGAAAGGAAGGAACAAGCTCATCCGATTAAATTCTGTTCACTGGTAAAATCAACAGCTTCCACATCTAACAACATTAATGAGCTTTAAAAAAGCTGCTAGGAGGGTAATGATCCATCAAAACCTGCAAAAGTTTGAACTTAAGATTCTGTAAATAATGTATGCAACACATTTTATGTCAATGAGCGAGATGACATTTAAAGAGGCATAAAAGAATCCATGAAAGTCTGAATTTTTTAATACAATTATTCTTTGGTAAAACAATGTTTACTAAAAAAAAGACTTGAAGAAATTGAAATGTTTATTCTTCCACACTGCATAAAGCTATGCATTGAAATATCAAACTGGCATGGCTAAAATGTATTTTGGAAAACTTTAGTAAAATAAATAATTTATATAAATATGTCTGAAATTATTTGTGAAAAGCAAAAACTCTCGTTAACCTCGACCAGAACTAGGATCAGCTTTGTTCACCTGGAGGAATCTTGGCGAAAATACTGAAAAATAAAACGTCTTTGGAAGGAGCAAAAGACGACAACAAGGATATGCAAAGATACAAACAGGAACATCCAGAACTTTATGGGCACTGAAAAATGAGGGAACAAAACTGGAACTATTTATTTTTTTAATTATTCAGGTTGCGTGCAAATATTTTTTTGTTCATCTTTATGTTAATATCTTTCACAGTTATAAAAAGTCGTGTTTATAGCTGATAGCTACAGAATCTTGTAATGGAAAAAAGACTTACAATCATGTTTTCCAGAGCACCTTTGGCAAGCCAACAGTTAAGAAACACAGGGACGAATATGTTTCTCAATGGAGCCCAGAAGATCTTAAATAAGTAAAACATAGACAAGAAAAATATCAAAACTTGATTTAGAGTTAGAGAAGTTAGAGTTAGACAAGTAGTAAAAGCATGAACTGGACAAATACTTTTAAAATAATAATTTCAGATTTTCTTTTTTTTTTGAAAATAAAGTATTAAAATGATGAGCAGTAAAATTTCGAACATCGTGCTGCTAACATTATAACACTTTCAAACTGTTTTGCAGAATAAATAAATTGGAGTAAATATAGATGAATTACTCACTGTGATTATAAATGGTACCGTATTGATCATCTCCAATATGAAGGATATCTGGAAGATCTGCTCCCAAATGTTCCCCTTGAATGGAAATACATGGGAATTGATTGAATATTTTGTTAAGAGAGTGGATTGTTTTCAGGAGAAAAATAATGAATAAAAAAGATGAGCTTTTACTGTATGGTGTTCAACAAGAAAAACAAGAACAGAGGATCAATCTACATTATCTTTAAGTTCCCTTTTCTTCTCTTTAAACTTCTAAATTTAGTATTTTCACAAAATGCCAAGTTATGTGTAGCTAATATCACTCGGAAAAAGTGAATCCACAAACATATAAAAGCAGTCTAAGTACAGACACTGTTAACATAACAACAAATAATCAGTAAGATTCAACATTACATCTGAAAACGATGAAACAACAAATTAACAGAAGAGCATGTTGATCACATGCAGCAGTGAAGGAGCAAATAAAATATATCTAAGGCTTCAATTTAACACCAGCTAAGAACAGCGTAACATTTTGATGTCGTTTCATGAAAATTAAAATGCTTCCTAATCCCCAAACCACTCACTGGGGCAAAACCAATATGACACGGTTGAAAATAAAAGGATTAACTAAGTATTGAGCACAAGTTTCACCGGATGACTGCAGGGGAAGAAGTTTAAACCAGCTGTAATACATGTTTACCATCCTCAGAGTGAAGCTGTTAAAGTTCTGGATGTAAATGTACTTATACCTTAAACCAAACATTTCTGTTGACAGCATAAAGATTTACCAGTTAAGTGATTATGGATTACTGCATAATGTTCAACTGCAAAGAAAACAGTGCATAGTTATCAACATTTCTTAAATAATAATAAAAAAAGGTGTTAATTTGTATTCACATGACACTCAGGTGCAGAAGAAGAAGCACCTTTCACTATTATCAACACTGTAAGTCTTTTAGCATATGCATCTAGAGAAGAGAGCACACCACACGACAGATAAAGAAAAAGACAGAAAGAGAAAGAAAGAGGGATTTTTTTCCTTTCGCTGCTTAGCTCTCACTCTTTCCTTTGCTCACATCAGAGTGCATAAAAAAAACATAAATATAAATGACACCTATAAGAAAAGCAGCATCTGGCATAATATCATATAAAGATATTATATGTTAATAAATTATTACTTTGGTAGATTTGCCTGCAGTGTTTGGTGGTAAAATTAAATGTTTGTTTAGAAATATTCTACAAAAGTAATGTCTGATTTAGCAACAAAACAAATACATAAAATTAAGAAAGGATAAGTATTCTCACACATGAATCATTTTGAATGCAAAAAGATTCATCATACAAAACATTCCTATTTGCAAAGTTAGATTAAAATATAAAGTTGCAGATGATAATAAATTAAAACCATTGGTGGCTCTGTGAAAAGAGTCAAAATTTCCATCACTAATGGAAACATCATTTTTGAAGTCTGGTCCCAGATTTTTAATTGCACATCTGTAGATACTACATACAGTTCAATCAACAAAAAAAAGTTCTGCTGCTCTGGCTAAATGTTTCAGGTTGTTGTGTCTCAAATCTGCAGCCTGTTCAAAAATTTAATTAAATAAAAAGCAACCAAAGCTGTTTTTACCTCATATAATAAATTGAACATTTGAAGTTTTCGGTTCACAAAACGCAACAAAAAAAAAAAATTCAGCTGCACCTTAACAGAAAAGAGGAATGAGAAAAACTTGTGCATGAAAGCAGTCCCTTACCTTGTAGCTGAGATATGTGATAAGCATAGTCTCCAAGAAACTGATTAAGGCCACTGTCACCTGCAGCACAGAGGGAGAAGGAGATGAATGAACCTGGCAACTGCTGACTCATCTCCTCTGGCGTCTTAGCTTTCACTGAGGAAATACAATGTGCTACGGTTTGTCTAATAAATGACAGTCAGGTTTCAGGGTTGAATTACACGTTCAGCTCATGGAGAGCAATTCGATTTATGCCCCAGAATTGCCAACAGCATCACCTGTATTGCCCACACAGGCTGGAGTCTGTTCACCCAGAAAATTAGGTTCCTGCAAAAAAAAAAAAAAAATTTCTCTCAAAGTTCTTCTCAACTGAGAAACAATTGAACACACAGAGATCAATAAATGGCTTTTCACATTAAACATACCATTTGATTTCAGGTGCCTCGGAAGAATTCAGTGAACTGCTGTTTCGGCAAGTTGTACTGCAAAAATTACATAAAAAAAAAAACAACAACAGCATCAAAGTAGGTAAATAAACTCAGGAGCAGACACATTTATGAGAAAATTATCTCATATTTATGTATATTAATAAAATATTTATAAGTTAAACAGATTACAACCAAAATAAGAGCTGAGAAACAGCTTGGGAGGTAATTCTGGCACAACAGAAGATTTTGAGCTTCACACATTAGATAATTAATATTTTATTCCACTGTCAGATATTTTGTAAAATAATTTTCAATTTACTAACTTGTATTTTTCACCCTGTTTAATGAATATATATAACACTTACTGAATTACATTACTGAAGGTAATCAGCTTCTCAGGGGTAATATTTTACTTATTTTAAGATAAACTTTTTTTCCTCACCAGAAATTGATTCTTTATGGAATTATTATAATGAAAAATCACTGGAGTGAACATTCATGCTTGTATTTGTTTATCTGTGACTGAATTAACCAGCATGCATGCTAGTACCTGGTCTGTGTGTTCAGCTTAAATTAAACACACAAAACAAAATGTCATCATGTCTCCAAGTCAAATAGCAAAACTACTGTTTTAGTTTACAAATGATTTATCATAAATATGTAACAACCTCATATAAAGAAATGAAAATGCATTATTGAGGTCTGTATTGTTTTCTTAAACCGAGTAAAATTAAAATGCGCAGCAGGAACTGCTGAAAGTGAAGCTCACCCATTGATACTGTTGTTTTCTGTGGGATTATCCAAGCTGACTCTCAGAATGTAGAGGGCACACGTGAGAATCTTCAATGCAAAGTTGAACAAACGGATTCTTAGGCCTGTGGAGCAGCAAAAACAAACATCTTGTCCTGACTGATGATACACTGCCTTACATTTACCTTCAGCAGACTTTGCAGCAATCTCTGCTGTTCGTAGAGGAAAGTATGAGAACATTCACACAACACTAACATAGCCTGGTCTGTGTAAAGCTGCAACCTGGTGCAGATGTACATGTTATCCATGGGATGGCGCTAGCTGCAATAAACATTTCAATCAACCTCAGCAACAGCTGATAAATCTGTCCAGATGGATGAAGTCTGCATCAGTGTCTGAACAGTTTAAAAACAAACAAAAGGTCATTGGCCTGGAGGAGATCTGTTCTAGGACTCTGTTGTGTCTTTTTAAAACTTTGGTGGCTTACAGACAAAAGCAAGTTTGAAAAACTTCAGCAGAGAAGAAGATATGTCAATAGCTTGTCTTGCTGGAGGCTTTTTGCTGTGCATATTTTCACAACTAGATGCAAATGAATAAGTTGCAGAGACAAGACAGCAAAGTGTTGATGTGAGGTTATTTTAGCAGATACTGAAGCAGAGTCAGTCAGCGCTCTAATAAGAGAAACACTGCAGTTCAGATCCCTCTTAGTATATGGACCATAATTTGTGCATCAGGCCACAAAAAGCACAGTCAAGACAACAAATAAACAAGACAGAAAATTTAAAACCAATACCCTAACAGAAACAGTAACCTGATCAGGATTGCTGAGTTCAGTTTCCTTCTGATGCTGTTATGTGTTCATTATCATCAGGCAGCAACGATCATACCATTTTCATTACACAATTAGAAAAGAGTGGCTGATGCTTCCTGTTTGCTACTTACTTGACCTTTGGTTTTTGATGAAGAAAAGCTTCAGTCTCTCCTTGAAGGTGTTTTCATTCACATAAAACTCAACCTGCACCCTGCAGGAAGAGAAACAATCAGACCCGAGTTAAAACATGCACAGCAGAGCCTGTGGACTCCATGCACAAACAATCCACCCCATAAATGAAGATAACTATATGTTGTGCATAAGGATTTAGAAACAAAAAACTGTGACAAACTCATAAATATGCAAGCTGTCCCTCCACCCACATACAATGTATTTGCTTTAGTGTGCTGTATAATTGTGGTACTTGCTGAACAGGTGGTACACAAGCTTTGTTAGAAATTGTTACAGAGAAAAATTACAGATGTGACAGGTTAATGATGTCACATCTGTAGTAAAGGAAAATGCAGCTGCCCAATATCTCCCTGCTATTTGGACATCTCACTGCTTGTATTCATCTACTGAATAAAACATGGCTTATTTGGAGTTGCTAGCAGAATTGCTTCTTGCTTCTTACATTTATGATGCATTTTAATGATGATAATGCGTCATGTTTTCAAAAATCCCAGTGTAAGCCTGTGTAACATCTCAGTTTAAACATCTGTGATGTGAGTATATTACATTACTCCTCCTTTCTAATGGATGCTAAAGTATAAATATTGATCCATTTTGCCACACAACACTCTAATCACAATGTACTTACCTTGATGTACATGTTTAATCTAAAGACATGATGCTTATTGAGTTTAAAGTCAGGTAATGGTTTTAGATTTCTTCACTGAAACGTCAGTTCACCCCGTGAAGCTTGAGCATAAATCTCCAAACAAGGTTTAATTACACCAATTTGCCCAGAATAATTAATGCGTGCTTATACAATCCAATTGTATCACATAAAATGTATCGGCACTTTCACTCTCTTTGTGATCCAGACTAGTTTCAGGACATAAATAAATGAAAACACAACAACCTCGCTCATAAAGCTCACACAGAAAAGTTTGAATTAATAATTAAAAATCCTCAGCTGCACATCAAGCTTTGAGGAATGAAACAGTCAACCTTCCACATACTTTATGTATTAAGATACTCTATGTATTTTAAGAGACTCAGGTGTGGGGGATCTTAATTAAACAATCACTAAGAAGGAGGCCTGGTGACGTAGCCAGAGAACTGTGGGCAGGTTAGATGATTGCAGGGATGAAGCAGCCCTATTGTTCGTTTCTTTCAGGCAGGGAGCTTGTTGTCACTAATGAGTACAGAGGGGAAGTAATAATGGCCACAAAGCGCCTTCTTGGAGCCGTCTACATTGTATGAGAAGATGAAAACAGGGCAGAAAAAAAAGACAGCGACTTTAATATCAAGCAACTGGCTAATTATTATGGAAGGAGCCCAGCATGTGTGTGTGAATAGAGAATTCAAGAAATAATGAGACATGATGCGAGCTTTTCCCCTCCCCCTTCATCCAGATTCATTGCCATAGAGACAACCGACTGCAGGAAATGCCCCTATCTGTGTTATGCTCTCGCAATTAGAAAATGAAAAGAGATGAATGCAGAAAGCAACTACTTTTGCCTAGAAACCCCTTCTAACTCCAATTACTATGAATTCTATAAATGCAAACAAATTTATATGATGCATTATGCCAGGCAAGATCCTTTTATTAATATTTCTGTCAACTGAGAGGCAGGGTTTGTGTTTACCCAGCAAGCCTACATAAGCATGACATCAATATAAAGCAGTTCTGACAGTGTTATTTGGATTACTGCAGTGCACAGAATGAAGTAAACACCTGCAATTCACACGGAAAGGATTCAGAGAAACATCATTTATGTCATAGTCTTTCACGTTTCCCCTATTATTATGAGAGTATAAAGTTAGAACTGTTCTTTTTTAGGTGGCTTCCTGCAGTAGTTAGTATCTGAGCTGCAGCTGATAGCAGATTGATTCCAGATCAGAGAATCAAGAAGAAATGTAATTAAAGGAGTCAAGCTGAAAGCTACAACCAATCAAAAACCAGATTCACATGGTGCAAACTTCAGTTGTAAAAACCCAAACTAAAAACCCACATTTAGAATCATAATAAATGGAAAACATTTGATGTGTTTCGATCATTTTGATGAGGGAACTCGACAAAACGTAATGTTTGGTTTCTCAATTGGCGACTGTGTGTTGATTCTATGAATTTTTATTTTTTACATATTTATGGTCTAAGGCACTTCAAACTGCCTTGTTGCTAAAATATGTTACACAAATAAACTTCATTGATTGAAAATGTTTACTGTGAAAGAAATGGAGGGAATATTTTTGACTTTTCTTTTGCAATCACTGACACTCGATTTAGCATTTTAACAACCAAAGACGATCTTTGATAAATATGGAGCAACATCAGGATCTTATTCTGATACAAACTTTGTATTTTTGCCTTCTTTATTTCCATCTGATATCTGTCGATTGCTTGTGGCACAATTCTGATGCAGAAGCAAGAAGTTATACAAGCCGGCAGCATCTATTGCATCATGCAGTGTGAAGTGAGTTACTAACAAGCTTTTCAGAACGTTTTTTATATATTTGCATGTTCACACAGTTTAACAACATCAACTCTAAACTTTTAAAAATATATTTTCCCCAAAACAGAAATATATCCAAATATAAGTTTTCTTTTTTTGTTTTTTGTTTTTTTCAACCTTAAGTTGGGCGCAAACATGGTGGCTCATACTGTGCCTGGTTCTGCTGGAGAGTTTTTCCATGTTTAAAGGAAAATGTTTGTTTATCTCTACATGCTTGGTCATGATGAGACATTTCCTTCTCAATAAATTAAGTGTTTTCATGGCCAAGTACAATCAATTGCCTTTGATTGCATTGTGTAATTATTTAGTTTTTATTTCATTGAATCTAAATTTACCTATATAATTATATTGCATCAACATAAAGGAAACTGACTAGATTAAATATTTCTGCATATTTGTATATGGATTAATCCGTTTGTCTTGTAAAGTGCCTTGGTATCCTATTTGTTGCTGTTTCTGAGTTTGATCTAATTGTTAAAGAAAATTATTTATCACTGAACCAGTCAATTAGTGAGTCCTGCAGTAGTAGAGCTTCCTGGTTTCATAGACTGACCTCTGCATAAAAACACAGAACAAAATGATTTCTTTACTAAAAGTAATTGTTTGAATAATAAAAAATTTAAACTGAGTTCATGATGACTGAAAGTATTTTTATGTGCATTGAATGAACCGTATACCATTGAATTGATTAGACTTTGTGTTGTGACGCATGTTTCAATGATGCCTTCATTGTTAGTTCCTAGTTAAAATGACTAATTTAAAGTCAGTTTCAGTCAAATTAGGCAATTTTGATTTGAATTTGATTAAAGGAACCATTGTACAGTAAAACTGGTAAATCTGAGATACTCACTAATGTTTATCACAACATGTAGAAGAACTGCAAGATCCGTACAATATTATTGGTGTTTATCTGAGTTTAAGTTAAAGAGTACTGATTTACAATTTAGCAAAAACATTTACTTCAGCAACGTTGGTGTGCAATTTCTGCAAAAAAAAGAGAGAAACTTTTCAAATTTCAAACCTTGTTTCAGATTTTCAGAACCTAAGTAAAAGGAAACGAGTTGAAATCAAACAGACAGACCTCAGCGTGGGTGTATTTGTTCACATAATAGGTACTAGAACACAATGACAAAACACCCTCCGAGCACAGTGCCTTTCATTGTGTTTACAAGTACTGCACTTCTGATTAAGGCAACAAATATAATGAGACGACGAGTCGCAGCTAAAAGAACCACAGCAACACCATTTAAGTACTCACCGTATTTTCGGCAGCAAATCTAAAATCTGCAAACCATCACTTGCCATGTAGGGACACCAGCCACACTGTCTAACATAAACAGGAGCTGGGTGCACATTTCAGAAGTCGCACAGCATCTGCAGCAGGCTGAAGAAACACCCACTTCACTAAATTATAACAATGCCAAGCATGGACAAGGATGTTCACACAGAATCTTAATATATGCATGTGCCTCCATTTTGCAAGTTAATGTCACATGTTATTAAAAAATAATTTAAAAACAGATTAGAGAAATGAAGAACGACTGGAAAGAGATGTACCAGTTCTAATGTGAAAGATAGTACAGGTTGCAAATGTAAACAAAATACAGAACAATTTTCAGTTAATGCAGCCTTGCCTGAAGCAACCTGTTAGTCTCAGTCTAATTCAGTGTGGTGCAGGACAAGAAAACACTGATAGTTGCCAGGTGCTTTGTGCAACACAGAATATTTGTCCAATTCGAGAGCAGCAGCATTAGCGACTTGAAACTTAAAGGTTATATTAAAATGAACAGTTTCTCGAGTATTATAGTGGAGATTCTTCTGCCGCTGATGAAAGCATTTTATTTACATGACCCCAGTTCACCTCACTCAAACAGCTGAAATACCCAAAACCACTGGCTGCTGAGATTTTTCTGCACATGTATAAATTGAGTAACACGTTTAGGCGACTTTCCAATAAACTGGAAGAGTCCCAGTTTAACTCGAGTTCTGTTGCATGTCGACATGTCAGTGAAAACGTGCACCGTTCGACTTAAAAAGAACTTCATACAAATGGATTCAGAGCACTTTACATTATACACACATTCATCCATTCAAACTCATGTTTAGACCAGAGGTATGGGGGTTAAATGCCTTGCCCAAGGGAACATTAACGTCAGACAGGAAACTAGAATGGAACCGACAGACTTCAAATTGCAAGACAACTCCTTCAGTTGCTGAATCACACCTTCATGTACAAAATGTTCATCATCGATTTGGAGTCTTTTAGATAGTGACTATGTAAAAAACACATTAAACCAATCATTAGAACCTTAAAGTTTAAAAGCATTATATGAAGGTAAACAATTCACGGCAATGACAAATATAAAACAGCTCGCTGTTTGATAGAAACAACTAATTGGATTACAGTTTGCAATGAGACTCAGCCTTTGGTGTCAGAAACTGCAAACAGACAAAAACACAATTTTCTCAGTAGGATACATGTGAAAACACAACCTGAATGTAATTTATTTAACAATATTTGTATCAGGTTTGCTTCAATGCATCACTTACAAGACAAAAATGGTTGAAAACAGAAGATTTCCCATGCATCATCACTTTGAGAGGTATCTGATCTAAAAGCTTCAGGGATCCAAAAATATAATACTTGAATATTAAGTAGACAAGTTGCTGCTCTTTGCTGCATCCTTTGAGGAGAAGCTAAAACTTTTATAATGAGCTGAAGAGTAAAGTCCAATAGTCTGTACTGCACAAAAATAGTTGAAAAGACTTCAAGACAAAGCTGGGCTGAAAGGACCTTGAAATACAGTCTATGAAAATGAAATATATTTTACAGCTGCTATGGGTAGCAGAAAGACTGACGAGGCCAAAATATCATGAAAAGATTTGTTAAACGAGCAGAGCTCCTGCTGTGTTTACCAGCTGATTTAAAGATTTCATCAACAGAAAGAACTAAATATATAAAACAAAGCCAAACTACTGTAATAAGTATGCATTTAGTGGAAACAAGAATTAGCAATTTGAAAAAGATATCTTATTCATTCTGGACAAAGGAGAATCTATATTGAAAGAGTCATAACAAATATGTGATATTTTCTTACAGCTTGAGGTAAAAAAAAAGTTTTTGTAAAAGTCATTAGAGCAATACTCCTAAGTCACGCTTAAGATTCATATAAGAAATGACAACCTACGCATTGACCGTATGCCTTATGCCCCCTTCTCATTGGACATAGGGCACCATGGCATTGCAAATCAGCCAGAATGTGAGTGGTCTTTGCAAAGATCCTTTGGAGTTGAATGAGACTGAGCATAAGAATTCCTTGAGTGTTTTAGACTAGTAAGAAAACGTCTGTGGTGAGGAATGGGATTGGTGACTGATGGTTCATTTCCAGGTGGCAGCTCATCCAGTTCCTGGATGCTGCTTGGCGGGAAACGCTAGCAGCACTGGTCCAGCTGCACCTGCATGGTTTGGTCATAAGAGAACTTGAAGCTGAAGTCATGCCAAAGCTACAACCCAATCATGCTCATGGCAGGCAGGCAGCACTCCAAATAAGTTAATTTAACGCAATTTGCAGCACACCTGCAATGCTCACTGCATCCAGCAGCTGCTGCAGTTGCAACCAAAAGGAGCTCATCCAGCAACTGCAAACAACTCACAATCTCAGTACCAAGAAGCACAGCTAGCTCCTTAATCGGGCTTGTTACAAATTGAGGTTGATATGCACTTGGCTTCCCATAGAACAGGGTCATGATGGGTAGATGGGAAGAAGTGCACACACCTCCAAATCATGCATATAGGTTAGTTGCCTGTCAGCAGCGTAGGCAAGTTGTGAGTGTTTCAAGGTGCTGTTCTAATGCAAACGCTGTCAAAGAGAAAGTCCAGTATCACATTCAGCGATTTGGAGGGATTAGGAAGACAATCAGGAACAGCAAATAAATATAATTTCACAGCCACACCATAACTTTCTTCCTCACATTTTTTCTGCATGATTTTTTCAGACTGTACCAATGAGAAGTACATTTTGTTCCAGTTTAAATTTATTCCACTAAAGGGCAACTGATTAGCCACAGTCCTGCAAAATTTGAATGATCGTGGAGGTCAAGCATAATTTATGGTTGTTTTAATAGAGTGTGAAGGGAAGTTTAGAAACAGATACCGCAAAGGGCAATGTCAGAACAATTTAAACGCCGCTTTCAAATCCTTCTGGCAATTAAAAAAACTAAATAAAATGGTCATCTGTTTAGATTATAAAAAAAGTAAAAAAAAAGTGTTTGACAGCTTCAAAACCGTTTCTGCTACTGCACAGAATACTTCAAGGTTGTGTAACAAATGATAAACTACTCCATCAGGAAAACAATTACCAGCACCTGAATGTGTTTCACAATGCAGTTAATCATTGTTCCTTGAACCTGCAAGCTGAGATGTGTTGCCTTGAATTAAACAATTCCAGCTGTGAAATAAAGAACAGTTTTTAGTGCTTAACTTTATACTAAGCCAAATGTAATAGGCTCTCCATGGTTACATTTCAATTAAGATAATTAAAACAAAAAGAGAGGTTGAAACAAATGCCAAGGCAATGAATGTTGACCTATAGTATAGTTTATCCTCTCCGATGCTAATGTAAGTTTCAGCACCAATAGCGATGAATAATAACACTCCCAGAAACAAAAGATGAGGTATTTAACTCAGCAGATTTGCTGCCAAGACCTAACATCAAAACTTTTCTCATAATGTGCTGATGTTTTATTTCTTATAATAATGCAGAGCGTTTAATAATGATCCAGCAGAGACACAGTCCACTGCTGAAGACAGGTGTCTCATCCCATCAAAATAAAAAGGCTGAGATAACTGCAGACCATCGCTTGTCGTGATTGTGAGCTGAGATGAGGATGATGCTTTTATTTTTAGCCTTTCTATTCGTGTGACTGAGGTGTGAGTTTGTCTGAGGCGATGTGAGATTTAACCAGTACAAAGACGAAGCGTGAGCTGGAGTCAGTTCAGAAAAACATTTTTCAGGCCAAGACAATCTCATGTAGTATTTAAATTCGACTTTGTCCTTATCGTAAAAATATGAACATTTAATCTAACCATTTTAAAAATCTATCAAAGCTGAAGGGCATATATTATCTGGATTATTTTAAGGAATATTCACAAGCCTCCATTGGGTAATCACCAACAGGTGAATTACTTTCAGAGCAGCTAGCAACAGGTGTGAGAATCAGAAGGTGCCTTAGTCCAAAAGTTTGTGCAAAATGAAGTGCCAGTATTTAGAGCAGAACCTGAATCTTTGACTCTGACACTAGACATCTCAGAGTCTTTTGATTTAGCAGAACACCAGCTAGACACAGCTTTTGTCATGTGTGCCAAACTGGTTGCATCTATGTTCAGTATCTATCTATCCAGGCATGTACTCTATAAATAGTAGCCAAAAATGTCCACTTTGGAAAATATTTAACAGCATGTGGGCAGAAGGTGCAAAAGCAGCAGAAAATATCCATTAAGGAGGTCACAGCATATCTTTTATGGTAAAAGTCTCTCTGACATCTAAATGAGAAATTTTCCTATCAACCCCTTTGATTAGCTGTACAACGAGATGTAATTGTCACGTTAACCCAGGTATGGCTCTGATTGGTTGATCTGTCCCTCTTGAGGGCTCCTTTTCCAGGAAGCAGGCGACTTCAGAGACTGAATCTTCAAATCTATGTTCAAACCAGTTCAGAGAGAATTGATCAAACTTACGGATTTGATTACTTGAAATTTATTTTCACTTAATTTGTTAGTATGCTTTTTAAACCAAGTAGCCTTTACTGAAATAACATCAGAAAGAGTAGTTATTGATTTTATTAGTGTTAAGCTCTGATTCTTCTCATAGTCTTTAATTGGATTTAAATCAAACTGATTAGAAAACATTTAAAGGGTTTACACATTATCTGTCTTTACTATCGATTCACAAAGAAGTAAATCCCAACATATCTTGGTTTTGACAAAAGTTGATTTTTTTTTCCTAATCATGCAGCTGCACACAAATCCAACAGTAAAGCAGTTAAATCCAACAGTAAAGCAGTTAAGACGCCTTTCATCTGTTAACATGTTTATATCATGCACAAGCGGAACAACTATTGCACAGTTATGACATTGGTGATGCAACTTACAAACAGGATCCACTATAATAATACAAAATAAGGTTGAAATATAGTCTGTTTAACAGTGCCTTCAAAAAGTGATCACCCTGTTGGATGCTTTTACACATTTATCATGATCAATAAGTTGAAAAACTAACTCTAATATCAAAGCTAAAACTAATTACAACCCCATAATAAGTGAAAAACTTTATTAGCTTGATGGCATAATGGGCTAAGTCAAAATGTAACATTTTTGGAAAATGAAAAAAAAAAAAAAAAATTTTGAGCAAAACCTTGGGAAATATTGATTTTGGGATGTAAAAAGTAAAAATCAGAATTTCCTCCAGTTTGGTTTGTCTTGTGGACCCTGAAGGGTTTGTGCAAAAACTAAAATTTTGAAAGCATGAAAGTTCAACGCTGTGCTCTTAAAAAGCCAAACTGTTCGTCATGATTGATCTGCTAACGTAATAAAAAGGTTAAAACATCCAAGGGGATTGAAACTGTAAAATCTGGTGACTTACTTTCATATTTTAATACCTTTATAAAACAGCTGAGCAGAACGTTTTAGAGGTGGGAACATTAAACAAAACAAAACCCATTAATTTTATACTTTCATTTATTTTACAGTGAAAGTGTTTTTTGATAGCTTCATTAGAGATTGTCAAATTTCCAAAAGTGATTGAAGTCCGGGTGTGAAAAGACTGGCGTGCACATTCAATCAATACATGAAGATACGCAGATAAACACTCAAGCTACCTTTTCACCTTGTACTGTAAAATAATAACATACAAATTATTTTATGTGCTCCAAAATATTACCAATATGACTGGTGAAAAGGTAGCAAGGTATGAGAAATTTCCATCTTTAGTGCAAAATCTGTCACATTTATGAATAATTTTTAAACCCAACGTAAACTGCAGTCCAGTTCTCACTGCAGACACAATCCATGCCATGCAAGCATGATGCTGCCATAAACTTACTGAGCATTGGTTGAGTCCATACTGTACTCCTCTTGGTACCTGGACGCAGCACACATGAACACAGACAGGCACATGTTAGGCTGAGTCTGAGACAGCAGGCGAGGGAAGGAAAGTGTGAAAAGACAGGAGCGAAGACCACTCGGGATCCCACTTCAGTTTATTTGCACGTACTTACAGCTGTTAGGAAAACAAAACAAATTCATAACCTTCACAAACTAAAGCGGTTTATGCAGCAACAAACAACAAAGCAAGAACTGGTGCCAGAAGGGAATCTCAGTATGTCAGAATATCACAGAAAAGTTGATTCATTTAAAAAATTCTGCTTAAAATTATAAATCAAATATCCGTTTACTTGGGGCTTTCAATAATTTACAGCTATTGAAAAGCAAAAACAGTTTTTCAGAAAACGAGAACACAAGATGGAGCCACTAAAAATACATATATTCTCAAAGCAGACTTATGTTTTGGTAATGTTGTATCTTATATTTCTCCAGAAGACAGTTAAAAAGTACGCAATGAAACCTAGAATTATTATAATCAAAATTTTAGGAAAGATGGTAAAAAGCCAGGTTTTCAGTTGAATGTTAATTTTTGAAAATTTAGGCCGCAGACCAGAGCGACTAAAGAATAATAAAATCCAAATAGTTTAAGATCAAACGTGACATTTCCACAGTCAGTGACGACTGCAACCCGTTTTATAACAAGGAACAACCAGCACAATTTACTGCACTTCATGCTTCCTTCGGCTAACAAGTAAGCCTGTCACAAAACACAAGTTATCAATTAATCACATGAAAAATTTAAATGAGCTCAAAAATTTCCATTCAGGTCATTAATCATTTTTGAAGGGTCATTTTGTTGACAGAATGATTTATGGTTTTGGTTGTAAGTTTTCCATTTCTTATTTTTTATTTGTTTTTGCTTGTTTCATTTCAATTTGGATTTTTAAGATATCTTCCAGTTCTAGTGTTAACCTGCATTATTATTATTATGCCTTTATTGACATATTACTTGAAGCAATATTATTGTTTGTTGCGATAAATTATTGGGACATTTGTCATGCAGCAAAATTTGTTATTTCAGTCCTGCTAACAAGCTTTCTAAGGATCCTGATTAAAATTTTCAGCAGGACTTGGCTCCTGTCTGCACTGCCAAAGGTATCAGTATCTGATTTAATGATTATGGAGTCGCTGTGCCTGATTGACCATCAAACTGTTTTGACCTGAATCCTGCAGAGAATATTTGTGGTTCTGTCAGGAGGAAGATGAGAAACATCAACTCCAACAACGGCGACTAATGGCGCTGCCCGGGTTCCTCAACTCCTCAGCAGTGCCACAGACTGACTGCCTCAGTGCCACGCAACGCTGATGCAGTAATTTAAGCAAAATGAGCCTCGACTAAATACTGACTGCATAAAATGTATATTTCATGGGCAAACTTTTCAGCAAATAGTTTTGTTTCTTTTTTTTAATTATTGGTCTTATGTAACAAATTTTCAGACGGACGTAAGGCTGAATTAAGATTTGAAACATGTCGCTGTTTGTGTTATAAATATATGTAACATTTCCTTTTTTAATGAAACAAACTTTTTTGATGAAATTCTTATTTATTGAGATGCCACTGTATATTATATAAATTATTTTTTAAAAAAAAGATTATTCTTGCTAAGTTCAGTCAGCTGAACGTTCAATGTGCCCGGTTTATTAAATTTCTGTTACTGATCCATTCCTAGCAAGGATTTTAATGAGATTAGCTTCCACAAACCAGCAATAATTACATATGTTAGATTGAAAAGGGTTGCTATTTGCATGTTAGCAAGAGAAATGACAGCTGATAGAAAATGCAAACCACAGGAGATCAGTAAGAAAGAAATGTGTGACAAAAGAGGGAGTCATACACATATTTATGTAAAGGGCTAATTAATGGACAGAGCTCACAGAAAAAGGTATAGAGTTTATTTAATCTGTACTCTGCACGCATCAATATTGCAAAAGAAAATAAAATCAGCAAATACATATGCTGATAAAATGAAGCTTCACTTATAAATTGTTAAAGCCGTAGATATTTAATGTAACCAGATTTTTATTCCCTGGTCGAGTATTAAGCTGTGAAACAAGGTGATATACAAAAGATCAATATTTGGCAGTGGATTTTGTTGATCCAAAGAAGCATCTATAAATGTAGCATCTTCTAAGTTGAATGTGGTCAAAAGGGCAGAGACTCTCAATCATTTCGTCAACCACTGATTCATGTTGTGTGGATAATTATCACAGAAGTGGAAAAGCTTTCAGCCAAAGCACTTTCTAAAGATTCATATCAATAATCCCTTCACAATGTAAGCAGCCTAAGAAGAAAATGAATCATTTATCATAATATGTGAAAAGGTTTTACAATTATATAAGTAATATATGGTTGAATAACTAATGTCAGCATAAAGTATGGAGAAAAACAAAAATAATCCTTAAAGATTATAATAATAATTCAAAAAATAATTTGTTTTATCACAAAAAAACAAAATCTCTATATAACCTAGTAAATAATGTAAAAAATATATATTTGGAAAATATATTCTTATTGTAAAACTGTAAAACAAATTCCTACTTTGAAAGGATGTGAAAGATCCTTTCAGACCTGCAGAGATGAGCCTGCATGTTTACTTAAGTATGCAGTGTTGGAATATTTACTCTTTCATGTTTCTGGCCCTTCTTCTATCTTGATTTGGCAATCAATGATACAAAAATAAACCAATCAGAAAGTGATTGCTCACCTATAGCTGGGATATTACATAGCAACAAAAGCATTAGGTCCTTGTTTCTGCTTCAACTGACCATTTGTGGCTATTTGTCAGCACTTTGATGTGCAATAAAGCTATTAAGAGCTTAGCTAGTTCAGCTGTAAAGAGAACAGCTGCACCTTTAAGCTCTGTTAGCGTGCAGCAACTATAATCAACATTCAAAAAGAGCTTAAAACTGAAATATACTGAAGAAACCAACATTTGTAAAGAAAGTGTTACATGCTGTAGCACAAAAAATTGTCATTCTTATTATAATTAACATAACTGAAGTAAAATATATATGCAAGAGGTGAAATGATCCTTACCTCCTATGAAATTTTAAATGGCACCTATGAGCTGCGCTCCTGAGGACCAGCATTTTCGTAGCGTGCCTTGAATTGCTTTTACTGAGAACCGCCTTAAGGGCTGAAACTCTGAAAGTGGGAGGACCTCAAACATGTATCTCCACATCCGTTCCAAGCAAGAATCAATTTGTTGTTCTCACTTTATTGAAAGCTTTCCAAAAACTACATTTCCCAGACTGCCCTCAAGAGAATCCTAACCCTTGAATGATTTCTCAGTGTCTGAATATGTTGGACTCAGTCTATCATGACACTGAGATTTATAGTCCATTCAGTTGCTCTTAATCACCACTGTTTTTATATAGGGTGGGTTTGTCGCCCTCGTCAATCAGAATAAATTACTGGCGCGTCCTGTTATTCACTTCACTCCTAGAAACAACGAGGCCACTTTCCCTGAGGGCCTGAAATGAAGAGCAGACGAGGTTTTTGCTGCAACATCTACCTACATCAAATCCGTGGCACAATATCTTAAATCTTCATAAAATACTAGGTTTTTAATGGGGTTGGTAATGAGTATATTTGATTATAAATGCTTTTTAAAAGTGATGCTCTGTTTTACTGTATGGTTTTTTATTTGATTATTGAGTATAAAATTGTTTTGGCCAAACCACTCATGGTTGGTCTCTTCCTGACCATTTTATTTATTTATCTGAATCACATGTTTTCAACAAGAATGTATCAAAAAGGGGCAGGATGGTGACTTTTTATAACAAGAGATGGAGTCCTATGTCAACAAGCTGCGGATATTTTCTTTTTCTTTGTTAAAGTATTTGCACCACTGCTGCTAATCAGTGTGTGTATGTGTGCTGCTTTTTGCAGAGCACGATATTCTATAGTAAACTATATTCTGCTTTTTGCAGAATATAGTGAACATTGCTATTTGTTGAATGTATGAATATCAAAATAAATGTTAACATTGCTATAAGTTTCTATTTTCTTTAAATATTGTTTCTTTCTTGTTTTGAATATTAGTAAAAGATAAATTTTAATATTTTTATTTTAAATTTACTTTTACTTAATGCTATTATTTCATGGGAATCCAACACTGGTTCATTGACAATTATTCAACCTAAAATTACTTTACTGACATAAAGCATGTGACGTGTGTCAGAGACATGGATAATAGTGTCCATATATTGCTAAAAATATATGGTATACTATATATATATATATATATTGTTTTTAAAGCTCTGACCTGAGAGACTTTATTCTGAATGTTTAAAGAACAATTATGACAGATGGCATGCAGTTTACTGCAATTAAATCCCTCCATTGAGTTTGGGGTGTTCAAATCAAATTAAGCTAATTACGGCATGAAAGCTGAGAGTTATAAATAAACATGAAGATAAACGAGGACGACCCGACCTGACCTTGCGCTAAAAAATGAGTAACATTGAACAGTATTTCATTAAACAAGCAAGCAGTAAATTTAGAAAGAACATGAACAAGTAATTTGTTGAAAAGCCGTTGAATTTCTGAATCTTTTAAATTGTGATCAAATGAGAAAATGGTGTTAAGAGTGATGGTAAAACTAAATGAAAACAGCACAAAGATTCAGCTGTCATTTGTTTTACATCCTTACAAGCTGGAGTATTTTATGCCTCTTATCCCTTAACTACCTGGCATCTGTTTGTGACTTACATAAAAACCCATTTCATTCCAGTTTTGCAGACAGATGACACATTACCTGAGGCGACTTGTCTCTGCAATTTTAGAATAAAGTCTAGTTAATATTTCACTCTTAAGCACATCTATAAAACATCCTCAGTATAAAATACCCCAAGGATAAATGTTTGAAAGCTCAATAGAATGGGATAATAAAAAGGTTTAAAAAAAGACTGGAGGGATCATGGACCTTGAAAAAGATTAAAGTTAGTTTTAAGTATCCAAAAGAATTAAAATTA